CAGAGGCGTCGCGAGTCTGAGGTGGGGGTGCGGACCTCACCGGGTGCACCATTTAAGGGGAGGGGGGAGCACCATGGCGTAAAGTTGCAAAATACATTGAAGAAATATGCTTTTTGCCAGTTCAATTAATGATTAGAGTTAATCCACCTATACTAATAACTTACAATAGATGAACATCTTTACTATTAACTGTGCACACCTTAAAACTCTCACCCGAAGGTGTGTGTGTGGGGGGGGGGATGAAGAGTTTAACACCAACTACAAAATTTACAGGGGAACGGGGAGGGGGCGACACCAAAATCTAATAATTTACGATGAAAACGATACTTTTGGTGGATTAATATAATGTGCGCACACTTTAGGGGTGACACCAATTGCAACTATATGTAGACCTATGTAGACCTTATATATATATATATATATATATATATATATATATATATATATATATATATATATATATATATATATATATATATATATAATCCTATAATTTTTTCCGGGTGGTGGAGCAGGGCACCGGGTGTTACCCGACCTAGCGACGCCACTGGATGGGACTTTTATTAAAAAATTCGTCACGTCTGGTGTGTAGGACTAAACGCGACAACGCACGGCGGGTACTCTAGTACTAAAATCCTAAACAACTAGTCTGAAGGTTTGGCATTCGTTCGCACTATATATTTCGTATTTTATTTTTATTTTTTCTGACACAGCGACGTAGTTAAGTGAATGGGAATAAAGATAACTCAAAGCTCTACATTTTTCAAAGATCACTACTACAGGTCAAACATGTAGGGCATCTCATTCTTGTGATATAGGCCATATTGGGTCATGCGCAGATGACCTCCTGACCTCGACTAAGCTGCTGATAGCAGTCTCATCAAGCAACAAGCCCGGCCCAAACAAAACATTCCAAAGAAGACGGGTCTAAAATAAATAGAAAAAATCAGAGGGTGACGAGAATCATCAACATACAGGAAACTCTGATGGTAATAGCGGGAAAGAAATATCGGGTTATATCAAATTAAGATGGGGACCCGGAGAGGATGAAGATGTTAGAAGCGGTGCACCGTCAAAACGGCCCGGGACAAAACGGCCCCGTCAATATGACCCCGTCAAATCCACCCCCGACAAAATGACCCAGTCAAATACCCCTGGCAAAAGGGCCCCGACAAATTGGCTCCCGTCATATAAAGTCATATTGACTCGCGACAACTGGGCTCCTGACAATTAGGCTCCCGACAAATGGAATCCCAACATATTGGCTCCCGACATGACTCACGACAAATGTGCTCCCTTTGCACTATCAGGAGCTACAGAACACTGCCCACCACAACAACACAATTTGAGCTTTGATTGAAATTATAATATTTATAGGTGTTTTACTCCATGGCTCAGTAACAGTATTCGGGAGTTACCACATACAGTAGCCGTATTGGGGAGTTACCACATACAGTAGCAGTATTGGGGAGTTACCACATACAGTAGCCGTATTGGGGAGTACCACATACAGTAGCAGTATTGGGGAGTTACCACATACAGTAGCAGTATTGGGGAGTTACCACATACAGTAGCAGTATTGGAGTTACCACATACAGTAGCAGTATTGGAGTTACCACATACAGTAGCAGTATTGGGGAGTTACCACATACAGTAGCAGTATTCGGGAGTTACCACATACAGTAGCAGTATTGGGGAGTTACCACATACAGTAGCAGTATTGGGGAGTTACCACATACAGTAGCAGTATTGGAGTTACCACATACAGTAGCAGTATTGGAGTTACCACATACAGTAGCAGTATTGGGGAGTTACCACATACAGTAGCAGTATTGGGGAGTTACCACATACAGTAGCAGTATTGGAGTTACCACATACAGTAGCAGTATTGGAGAGTTACCACATACAGTAGCAGTATTCGGGAGTTACCACATACAGTAGCAGTATTGGGGAGTTACCACATACAGTAGCAGTATTGGGGAGTTACCACATACAGTAGCAGTATTGGAGTTACCACATACAGTAGCAGTATTGGAGTTACCACATACAGTAGCAGTATTGGGGAGTTACCACATACAGTAGCAGTATTCGGGAGTTACCACATACAGTAGCAGTATTCGGGAGTTACCACATACAGTAGCAGTATTGGGGAGTTACCACATACAGTAGCAGTATTGGGGAGTTACCACATACAGTAGCAGTATTGGGGAGCTACCACGTACAGTAGCAGTATTGGGGAGTTACCACGTACAGTAGCAGTATTGGAGTTACCACATACAGTAGCAGTATTGGAGTTACCACATACAGTAGCAGTATTGGAGTTACCACATACAGTAGCAGTATTGGAGTTACCACATACAGTAGCAGTATTGGGGAGTTACCACATACAGTAGCAGTATTCGGGAGTTACCACATACAGTAGCAGTATTGGGGAGTTACCACATACAGTAGCAGTATTGGGGAGTTACCACATACAGTAGCAGTATTGGAGTTACCACATACAGTAGCAGTATTGGAGTTACCACATACAGTAGCAGTATTGGAGTTACCACATACAGTAGCAGTATTGGGGAGTTACCACATACAGTAGCAGTATTCGGGAGTTACCACATACAGTAGCAGTATTCGGGAGTTACCACATACAGTAGCAGTATTGGGGAGTTACCACATACAGTAGCAGTATTGGGGAGTTACCACATACAGTAGCAGTATTGGGGAGCTACCACGTACAGTAGCAGTAAGCACCAGACTTTCATCACTTACATCAACAGCTACTTCATCATGGCCTCAAACTAGCTAGTCCCTTATGACGTATGCAGGCACAGCCACAGTGTTATCGATTCAGTGGAGCATATCATTGAAGAATGTTTCACCGTTGGCCCGTAACGGAGTATCTCATAACCTTCAGCAAGACAAGCGACCGGTTGGCCGAACTACATGCGTGACATCTGCACCTTCGTGAGAAACATACGAGCTCTCACAGTGGCGTCACTAGGTCGGGTGTCACCTGATGCGGACCTCACCCCCGCAATGTGATGCCAGGAAATTGAGCAAGGCGACCTCAACTAGAAAGTGACGACAACGAGAATAGTGTAATCAGTGGCGTAGCGAGGTCGGGTGTCACCCGGTGCGGCACTTAATGGTGTCACCCCCTAGAGGCGTTGCGACCCTTCCCGGGGACAAACTTTCAAATTTTTGATTTGCACCCCCTCAAGTTTTCGATTTTCGATTTGCACACCCCCTCAAACTTTCGATTTGCACCCCCCTCAAGTTTTTCTCTATATATTTTGCAATTTTTTGCCTTGGTGTCACCCCCCTAAATGGTGTCACCCGGTGCGGTCCGCACCCCCCCCCCCTCGCTACGCTCTGAGTGTAATAATAGTAGGTGAACCCAATCAAATCCTCCCCCTGGTGTTCCTGTGATTAGGAACCACCGGTTGATTCACCTTTAACTTGTGAGCTAAAATGTGACAGACCAAAGCTTGAACACACGATGGATATAGAAACAAGCAAGCAGTTTAGTATTTCACGTCACCATGAATGGTTTGTTCTATGGGCATTGGACTAGAGTTTCTTCCAGACTTTTTTCTCCGGGAGGGGGACTTGAAATTTACGGGGGGGGGGGGGGGGGGGCACTGGCAAAAGTATATATTTCTATATAAATTATATTTCTTCGCCCCCCCCCCCCCCCCCCCCCCCCCCCCCCCCCCGTAGAGATGCCTGGAAGAAACTGCACTGGAAAGCGAAAAGGCACATTACGGCGGTGCACTAGAACCTATCCTTATACAACCTACCAAGAGGAGAGCTACTAAGTGCAGAAATCACAAGCCGTGTCCAATCTTAGATTAGAATGATGTCACATGTTATGGCATACATAACTGGCATACGACACCAGTGTGTGTGTGTGTGTGGGGGGGGGGGGTACATTTGAATGACTTAGCCTACACTACACGAGAGATCAGTGTCAACTGTTAAACTGATAGACCTTTGTGGTAGCGGGTTTGGGGGCATTTAGACTCGATCCTTGCTGGAAACAGAGAAGTAGGCCTACCGTGAACTTTTGACACTACTGATATTCATTTAGCATCGGTGGGAGGGAGGTCATTTTTGTTGTTCAGCGACTGGGTTCATAGCAGTGTTTCTTCCAGACTTTTTTCTCCGGGGGGGCACTTGAAATCTTCGGGGGGGCGGTAAACTTTCTTCGGGGGGGCGGACACTGTTAAAAGTATATATTTTCTATATAAATTATATAAATTTCATTTCGTTCGGGGGGGCGGTAAAAATTTTTCGGGGGGGCTTCGCCCCCCCGAAGAGATGCCTGGAAGAAACTCTGGTTCATAGTGGCATTTTTGTGTCAGAGGCCTATAATAGGTTATGTCATAGTCTGTAACTTGTAACATTACATAATCTATTATGTTCTACTAGTAAGTGAAACACTTCATCAGTTGTTTTGTTTTTAGTTATGTTTTAGTATTAGGCTACAGCCAGTTCTGCCCATTGTAGTATTGATTTTTAAAGTTAACCTTTCTGTGTTTTCATGTTGAAAACAGTTTCATTATGGTAATTAAGTCAATGTATCCTTGTCTTTTCTCAATCCTGTTTTTCGCTTTCTTTGATTTTTGTGCACAGGATGTGGCTACCATGTACTTTATGGCCATCTTTCGTAAGACACTGTTTTTTTTTACTTGAAAGAACTAACTACATAACTCACAACTGACAATAATTATCTGAAAAAAATTGAGTCCCTTGAAATATTTAACTAATAGGTAAAAAACATGCCAAAAGATACTCAAGGAAATTTTGTTAGAAAAAAACTTTTGTAAGGACTATGTCAAATTACATGTAAAGTAGGACAAAAATCAATTTTTTTACAGTTCAATAATTTTATTCAACTAGGTAAAAGCAGGATAATTATATATATATATATATATATATATATATATATATATATATATATATATAATAATTTATTTATTGCAAATGCCTTGGTAACATAAGAATAAAAAAATTCAAGAAAAAAAAGTTTTTATTTTTTTTTGGAATTTATTTTCCTTAAAGAAATCAAGTTTAAATAAATATTTAAGAAAAAAAGATAGTTTTGTAATACTTCTTCTTGTTAATTAATAAACATAAATACTTTTACCCTAGTAAAAAAGTATAATGGTATATTGATTTTTAACAGTCAAATCCTTACATCACAACTGTTTATATTACAGTATGTACTGGCAAATAGGATAATTTCTTAAGACAAATTACAGTATATTTTATTCCTACCTCTTTCACACAACAGTAACCTAGCTACCTAAATTTGATGTTTTGGGCAAAAAATACAAACAAAAAAAAAACATTGATTAAGTCAGATGTTCTGGACAGTATTAGTCCCTGTCGCCTGGCAAGAAAGACTTTATTATATTCATAAAATAAATAACATTTATTTTAGTTAAAAATTATGCAAGTAATACTTTGGTAGCACTAGGCGTGGCTTCACCAACACTTATTAAAATTTATAATTTTTTAGGGATATGGGTGGTGGATATAAATTTACAAAATTAGTGCCATACAAATAAAAACTAGTATAGGAATGTTGAATGCAATACATGTTTGAACAAGATTTTCTAAATGTTGCCACTATTCAAAAAAAGAACTTAAGTAATATATTTAGTAAAGTTAAGTACCAGTTCCATTTGAGAAAGACTGTTTCAGATGTTTATAAAAAATTCCACAAATCATTGGTTAAGGGCACTTTAATCTGTTCTCAGATTAAAAAAAAACCTAATGAAAACATACAATTAAATTAAAAAGTGTGTGGGTTAATTAATTTGGTATAACATTACTTAGAGTAACCAGAATGATTTTATTGTAATTAGTAATTAAAAAATGAACTATACTCTTCAGGCTTTGATATCTATAATATAAAGTCTTATTATAATTTAAATATTTGGAAGTCTAAAATGTAATTACTTTATTAATTATTATTTAAGTTTGTAAATCATAGACAAAACATTTTGAAAAATTGTTGGTAAAAAATAATTTTGTTAACTCTTACAAAATATTTTAATTGTAACTTCCAATATTGACATACTCACACATACTACTTTTGGTCTCTCTAAAAAATGCATTTTATTTTGAAATTAAAAAACATTCAATTTTTTAAATTGATATTTTAATAGCATTTGATGTGGTTTAACCAAATTTTACCAATACATTGTGACTTTCAATTTTACATTTTGGTGATGTAAGTAGTGTATTTAGATTTAAAAGATTAGTGCCATTAGACAAGTGTAGGAGTATGTGATGCAATACATGTTTGAACTAGATTTTCTAAACATTGCCACAATTAAAAAATAACTTAAATGGTCGGCCTATTTTATTTACAGTTTTAATTACTCTAAAGTTAAAAAAACAAATATTACGTATGGCTCCTTATGTATTGAAAAACAAAATATTATCTAATAGATTTGTTAAGGCACTAGTTTTGTAGCCTAAACTGTGGTCAGATTAAAAATAAATGAATTTGGATTGATATTTTTAACTTACATAATTAATATAGCATTATTTCTGAATTATTAATTAAATACAATACTCAAGTTTTGATTTTTTAGTGTGCATAGCATAACAATTAAAATATTTTTAAAATTTAAATGTAAAACCAATATATCAATTATTTTTTAATTTATAAAATATTTTTACAAAACATTGATTGTTGTTAAAAATTGTATGTACAATTTTATGAGATATTTTAATTTATTTTTAGGCATTAACAAATATTGACCAATACTACTTTCCACCTGTTAGCATAGTATTTGTTACAACTTTGTACAAATACAAACACTCTTACTTTAAAATGTAAGATTTAAATGCCTAGCTAATTTTTAAAGGAATGCTGTGGATTCAATAAAACTTGTAGAATAAATTATGCATGCAACAAAGAAAGTAATAGAAATTTTAAGAAACACAATCACATTTACAAACAAGTTTTAAAAATATTACTTAAAATCAACAAGTTAATTTAATTTTTATTTATTATTATGTTTTTTTTTTAAAATTATTTTTCAACTGAAATAATTATATACCATATTTTTTAGAAACCCCTTTGGATAAATGATCTTAAAACTAAAATATAAATATAGACATGCAATTTTTTATTATCAACCTAAGTAGATTATTCTTATGATTACAGATTTTCTTTAAATATAAAATTAAATTTCAAAAATATTATAACTTGTGTATCAGTATTAATAATCAAAATATGAAGTCTTATTATTTTTTTACTTACACAGAATTTTACTTTTTTTTTTATTCAATTAATTGATCTATTTCTTCTTAACTTTTAAATTTAAAGAGGAGTACTAACCCGTAACAGATTTTGATTTTGAATGCATTTTTAAAAATTGTTTTTTATGACACAAAAACAATGAATTAGATGAATGTTTTGATAGCTGTCACATTAATATTAAAACAAAACAATAAATATTTTACGCATTACAAGGCAAAATGTAAAAGTAATGCACAGAGAAAGTGGAATCATTCAAGGCAATTGTTGGGCATGTTAAGATTTCTCTGGGGTTCTTGTTAACCTGACTGTTCCACCTTTAGCTAGTATTATGTTATTACTTTTGTGATGCTCTATCAAGTCTACTACAGATGAGAACGCCTATAGATAACCACAAGAGAAAAAATATTTGTAATTTAAACGAAAAATGTTCTTTATAATCAATTTTTATATAAAGGATTTTAAAAAAACATGATTATTATGCTTTATAAATTTGGTAAGAAATAAATAAAAAAAGGATTTGGCACAACAGTGTTATTACTATATACTTTACAAAATTGGTAAAAAATAAATGAAAAACAATTTCCCAAATAACAGGTGATTATTATACTTTAAAAACTTGGAGAAAGTAAATGAAAAACCAAAACTTACAACTTCATCTGGCTTATACTTGCCGATTGCAAATTTATTATCATCCCTTTTCCTCAATGGTAAGTTGTATGGTTTACCATCTGCTATTACCACTAATGTATAAGGATGATCCTTTTTGCTGGGGCGAACCAAGAATGCACCATTCTGTAACAAGCATTCATTTACATATCGAATGTTATTTGTTATTATTTGTACTGCACAACCTATTCTTCTAAAACTTTTCAATGTTTTTTTAATTTTCTTTTTTTTTCTCTTTAAGACTAGAACATTTCTCTTGCATATATATTAGCCTTTAAATATGCAGGGGTGGTCACAAGTGGATTTTGTATTTTAAAAAAGAAAATATATCTATCTCTAAATTTCAACATCTCTGAATTTTTACCATGTTAAGTCTCTTAAGTTTACTTTCTACTTCAGTTCTGTCAAGGCTGTCATGAAACCATGGCTGAGAAGACAAAACCTGCAAATCAAACATTTTCAAAAATAAACTTAAAAATTATGGAAATAATAATCCGTAAAAATCAAATCATTTATTTATTTTTTCAACATATTCTAAATTCTGATTTTACTGCTATTATTAGCCAGGTATTTCGGTAAAGAGAATTTAACATATATGTATATGTAATGTGTATATTACACACACACACACATTATTAGCATTGCAATGTACACATACACAAGATAAATTGATAAATTTGTACATTCGTAATAAGAAGTGAAATATTACATTTTAAGGATATCCAGACATCATAGTAGAGGGGATGGGGATGGTGTGAAAAGTAGATAAAGGAGTGTCATAAATTCCATATTTTAGTGAATATAATTTGGTAGCCTTATGGTGGCAAGTTGACTTTAATCAATAAGTTGATTTGTTCGCTTGTACCACATAGTAGGTGGGAGTAAATTACCATTACAAAGATAATACAATGAAGCATTTCTAAATAGTCCATTCAGTTCCAACTACATGTTACAGTCTTTTGAATGATTCTTTATATATATATATATATATATATATATATATATATATATATATATATATATATATATATATATATATATATATATATAAAATGAATAACAGATATATACACAAATATAATTATACCTCAGTTGTTCCATCATCGTAAATATTATCATCTCGCGACGAAGGAATTTGAGGAACAGGGGGTTTGACTTGTGGAAACTAACCAGAGGAAACATAAATTACATGTTAGTAGATGTGAGGCAATAGAAATCAATTATATTATGATTTGATATCTGCAGATAAATCAATTTTTTATGGCTTGTCATATTGTTAATATTGTTAGTTGAATTGAATATAAGATCACTGTGCACTGTGGGTTTTTTTAAAAATACAAAACAAAATCAACATTAAACCTGTAATACTAGTTATCAACATTGAAAACAATGTTAAAAGATGTGTAATGTTATATGAAATATAATATTTAATAAAGAAATGATTACTTGAACTAATGTCTAGTCTTAAAAATTATGATAATTTTTTATAAATATATAAGTATATTTGGTCAAAAAGATCATGCGGCATGTATAAGGTATATGTTTCAGGCTGCTTTACAAAGGCATAAATAACAATTCCATTACCGGGTAGGGAATCGGCTATTTATATATACATGTATAAATATAGGTATGTTTTCATTCACATAAAGGATATTGAGATTTTGTCAAGTGCTGGTTAGTTTCCACAAGTCAAACCCCCTGTTCCTCAAATTCCTTCGTCGCGAGATGATAATATTTACGATGATGGAACAACTGAGGTATAATTATATTTGTGTATATATCTGTTATTCATTTTATATATATATATATATTATTTAATAAGCTTGTCCATTCATATTGAAGTTAAGAATGAAGTTTAAGAACTCAGTTTTATAACAGAAAATTTTGATAATGAAAATTTGTTATCAGCCACTTGAAGCCTTGATTGATAGTAAAATATAGCACAGCTTAAGTTTCTATTTCTAATGAAGCATGTTATTTATACATGTTAATTATAAACATATGAACTGCAAAAGCACTGAAAAGACTTTTGCAAGCACAAAACAAAGTTCAGTTTTATTATAACTGACAGCCAACAATTCAGCTTATTTCTAAATATGCTTTAAGTTTGCAATAAATATATTTGATGCAGCTAAAAAAAACATTGATACAGTGACAAAAATAAATAAAAACTCCAGAAAAAAATAAAGCATTTGCAGCAAGATAAAAAAGATTTATTGAAAAAAAAAAACAGCTGCAAAATCTAATAATAAAATAGTTTAACGCTTTAAAAATTTAATAGTATTGAATTAATTAAAAAAAAGTTATTTTAATATCTTCATACCTCATATTTCTAATCTGAAATATTAACTGGGCTGATAAAATAAAAGCCTGACATTTTTATGGATAGCAGAAGTCAGATTTTTTATATTTGATAAGAAAATTGGCATTGTCTGGCAAGACTAATCCAAATTAAAAAATAGCTGACAGTTTAAAATATCCTTACCTTATTTTAAATTTAAATATTGTTTTTTTTTTTGTGGGTAATGGAGTGAAAAAATATAATTTTTCAACCATCTCAATAAATTCATTATGAAAGACATTAAAAATAAGTTTGTAAAAAAAAAAAAAACAAGAACAAAGAGTGATAATAAATTACTACTGTCCAATCCCAAAAACTGCAACTAAATCATATTAAACTAAAGAGAACTAGTTTTGTTTTAAATTAGAAAGGCATTTCAGTATTATTTACGTTTATATTTTTTATAAGCTATCCTTAAAAATAATCATAGGTATATTTCAAATTGAAGTTTAAAATTTATTAGCTTTTTAGTGTTAGGTGTATTAAACAATAAAGAATTCAATTGTACAAGTGGTCATTTAACTATCAATTAAAAACTTAGGCATTTTGAGATTGGTCACAAGATTTAAAGCATTCATTCAGTGCAAAAGTGAAGCTGAACCTTTGAAGGAGCATGCGGTGGTAATACCAGAACCTTGGTTGGATATTTCTGTGGTGGAGTGGGACGAACGTCTTGTGTAATGGAGCCTCCACTGGAGCTTTCATCCGATGCACTGTGACACCCGTTGTTGAACGGTGCTGGTTTTGGTGGTTTGCTTGGTGGTGCTGGTTTTGCTTTACTTTCAGCAGGAATTTGCTTACCTTTGAAAATAAAGTTCATGTGTGTAAGGTTTAGAAAAACACTGGTTGTATTGTATTATAGTCATTAGAAACCTATAAACTAAACCAGCAAATAGTGCCTGATTACAAAACTGAAGAGCTTGTAGTGTTTGCTTTATGCTTTAAAGAATATTGTTCACACTGGCTGTTGATATTCTGTATAACATTTGTCACTGTACACATACTATGACAAAAATAATTCTGATCCAATTTATCATAATTTATAAAAGGTAGAAAGCAGATTTTTATAACTTAATTGAGTAAACAAACTTGCATATTGTATAATTAAATTTTGTGAAACGGTTATGTGTTAACAAAATGTAAATATTCTATTACTAATGGAGAACTGGTGCCTTTACCTTGTAATTAAAGAGCATTTTCTTACAAAGGGTCTATGTCCACATTTTTACCAAAACTGAGTTATGCTTACTGTTTATTTTATTAGTATAACTAAATATCTAACTGGGTCAACTAGCACAAAATGTTTCATTTTGAAGTTAAAATCTTCAAGTACCTTAAAATGGTATAATTTTTAAAATGGTATTAATTTATTTCATTGTATGTTTTTTTTAAATTTTATTTTAAAAACACTCTTTGATTTCAAGTGTAAAATATAAAAGTTAATTGAAGATAGTTACACTAAACATACCTTGATTAAATCTGTTCGGAATCTCCTTTAAATAAAAACAAAAATGAAGTTAAAGCAATTATCTATATATATAATTCACTTCTTGGAGACGATAGAAAACACCAAGCTGTAAGCGCGCTCCCTACCACCCCCACATGGTTTGGTGAGCTGTGGTTCACGCTAAATGTTTACAATCGTAGAGCCGGGTTTACTTACGGCTATTAGGGGCAGATAAATTAGTTTGAAACGATTTTAAACTTAGGAGAGGTAACTAAGAGGAGTTTACTTTCACGGGTGGGGAGTGGGGGTGGGGGGGAAGGAGGGGGGGTTATCGTCCTTAACGAGCTACTGATAGTGTTTTAAAGCAAATATTTTCAGTGGCAGCGTTGTTACTGTCAAATTCACAAATTATGAATAACTTCTTCTTCGTTCTTAATTATTAGTGTTGAAGGGGATCGAGATTTATCTGCCAGTGGGTTTGAACTCGAGACTTTGTTCGAATTTATCAACCATGAACTTTTTGCCGACTCAACCACGCCTCCAACACAATTAAGCGTTACATGTCAACTGGTTATGCGCCGTTTAAGGCCATTGACTCCGATTTCAGCCTGCTTTTCTTTTTGGATTTGATTCCATGGCCTTTGTCCAACCAAGAACAAACTACAAGGCAGCAGTTGTTTAATTTTGGAGTTGTCTCTCCTAGAATGAATAACTGATAAGTAGAAAATAAAACAACTAAATAGCGGCACAGATACGCCGCGGGTCGGCTTGTTCTAAAGAAATAGCTATCTATCCTGACAAGCTAATCTATTTAAGTCAACAGATTTACAATTACTTGAATTTAAATGTAAAATAAAAATAAAAAACTACTCATCTTTATTTCAACAAGTACAGACATTGCTCATTAAAAATGTTAAAGAAAGTTAATTTTTTTGTATTTGTAATTTGAATAAGTTAGTTCATCAGTTTTACAACTTGATGATAAATAAATCAATAACTGCCTCAGCATATGACATACAAGGCTCATTGACTGTGATAAGAGGTTGCTGAATTATTAAATTACAGTAACAGCTCTTTAGGTTGCTCTCAATAATAACTTAGTATGAATAAAATATATTATTCTAAATACAACACTACATGAGTCTCAGTAGTATACTACAACACTATGTGAATTTAAGTAGGTTACAACACAGTGAACTTTAGTATAACACACAGTGAATTTAAGTACAATATTTTATGAATTAATACAAAACTACCAAATTGTCCTACACCTTCTTATTTAAAATGTCAACAGAAGAGAAGACAAAGCATCTTACTATAATATTGGGTGATTTGTTGACCGGTGAATCTGTTTTTCTTTCCACTGGTTTTTCAGGTTGTGTTACAACAGGTGTTGGGACTGGTGTTACACCTGGTTCAGGTGGTAAAGGAGGAAGTGTCCTTTTAGAAGGAGGTACAGGTGGTGCTTTCACTGAGGGAGGGGGTGCTGTAACAATAATAGCACAATGAAATTTCACTGTTAATGATCATTAATTTAAACTAAAACAATGAGCTGTTTTAACCATTTGTTTTTAGCTTTACTACAGTTTTTAATTTTTAATTTTATAACAGAAATGAGAACTATCAGATTTACAATATCAAGTGATTGTAAAGAAATAAAAAAATTCTGTTCCATAGTTAATATGTCAAATAGAGTTTATGCAATAAACCATAACTTTGTTACAGCAATAGTATCTTATAGAAACTAATATTATAATTTATATATTAACAAAAAAAAAGTCTCGTGTTATTCAGAAACACATTAAGAGTTTATAATGGTACAAGATTATATCACCACTTACCTGGTGCATGGTCATCTACCTGTATGAGAAAAATGCTCATAAAGTAAAGCAATTTTAGTATTAATAGCTTATTGATGCAATTGCTTGTATTTCTAAGGTTATGATCAAATTATACTCTTTTGACTGATTATTGTTTGGGAAACAATTATAGGGGGAAAGAAAACTTCTATATACATGTTAGGACTTGTAAAATATTAGCACAGTTATAATTGTAATTTTTAAATAAATTATGTAACATTACAATAATGCTTAAAATAAATTTTTTAAAACGAGATTTTTAAAAATAATTAATCAATTATTATTTTAATGAAATATTAATGAGTACTAAATCATTTATAAAAAACTGCTATTGAAGCTTAAGGTACATCTATGATTTAAAAAAAAGCACTAAAGAAAAATCATCTGGTAAATTATAATCTGGTGACGAAGAGAGTCTCATACAATCATTTTTAATACTATCAAAAGGTTTAAATGTTGCAATTTTTAAAGTTATTTTTTTATACATATTATAAATGTTGTTGATCAATTAATTACTAACAACCAACAAACACTTTTATTTAAATGTGTTTCTACAAAATACTTTTCTTACTGATGTTGAATCTGCTTTATAAAGACTTAACTGGTTTCAATCATTGTGGCTATCTAAAGTTAAGATACTACTTGGAAATAATGAGGAACACAAAAGTAGATAAAAGTAACTTAAAGACAGGTTGAGAACTATATGATTTCCATACTTTCTCCAACAACAATGACTAAAAAACAAAAAAAAAGGGCTTTTACAACAGCAGTGACTCAAAAAAAAAGATTTTACAATAGATGAAACTCAAGAAAAAAAAAACAGATTTTACAGCAGATGAAACTTAAAAAAAAAGAATAAATTCTTCAACCACTTACAATTCCTCCATCTGGAACTACATAATCACCATTATCTATTGACACAAAGATTGGAGTGAGGTAAGCTTCATTTAAAAATGGCTACATAAAACATTTTCTAGCTTAATTCATTCCAAATTTAAATTAATCTAATTACAAATAATATTTTTTTTAAATTGAAAAAAGTCTACTTGTTTATAGCAAATGGTGTATGGATCTATTACCTGAATTGTCATCGGCTTCCTGTTCAATGAAATTCAAAAAGAAAGAAAAACTAAGCTTAGTCCAGTGAAACCAAATAAAAAAGGGTAATCTATCGTTTTATGTACTTAAAATCGCCCGCGGCTAGTAATGTACGAAAAAGTGACCTCATTGTCAAGGCTTTAATAGAAGTATATTGTGATATATTTGTGTCCAATATTATAGATAAATGAATAATAAACCTAAATCAATGGCTAAATATATCAATATAGGCAAGAAATTAACTTTAAACAGCAGTGTTTGCGAGCTGGATTTGCTATATAAAAAGCGGCCATCTGTAAGTTAGAGTGGCTTCCCCTGAATCTTGCGTTTTAAGTTTACATTAAAAAAAAAATAAACAAGATGGCTGCTATCGTAAATGAGCATGGTTGCATCTGTTGGAACCATCGCTAGTCTTCATTTATTACTGAAAAGTTTTAATTCAGTTGTTTTAAAACAGTTACATAAATGAAACTAGGAAAATTTTTTGAATCTTCTCAAAACATAAATCCTCCTCAAAATGTGAAATAATTATTAAAATTCAAGGAGTCACCTGTTTTTCACACTACTAGTCGCAGGCGATTTTACATACCTAAAACGATAGATTACCTAAAAAATGAACTCTTTTACTTTTTAATCTGACACCCAAACCATACAATAGCTATTTTCTAATCAAACAACAATTTTAAAGACTATTTAAATAACTAAAACACAATATAAAATGACACTTATATGAAGTATGTATGTAAATGTATATATATTTAATATTTTTTCCAATATAAAATGCTAGTATCTCATTTCAATAACTTTTTTTTTGTTTTCAAGAGTTATAAGATGTTAAATGCAAAGTAAGCGTGAACTGTAAAAATAAATTGAAGAATTTGTTTCATGTGAGAAGAACACAGCAGCATCATATTAAAAAATTCAGGAAAAAAAAACCATGCATCTGAAGCAGTTTCAATATTTTTAGTATCTTTTAAACCTCATCACTTATTAGATAGAAACTAATCTATAACTACTTTAAGCTATACAGTAACTAGAAATAAGTATTACCTATTGAGACAAATGGTCCCAATTAGTAATGATAATTAATGAACTACCACCACTATAATTTATGCATGCAATTAAATTATTTATGTTGAAACAAACATGTTTGATTTTCTATTAAAAAATACATCAACATATTAACACAAATGAAGCAAGTCAGACATTTAAGATTCTGACATGTCACAAAAATATTTATTTTTAATAAAATAGAAAAAAATGCTTAGTGATTAAGAATTTGATAACGCATGCATTTAATTTAATGGCATAATTTCTTAGGTTAGCAACTGTTATGTTGTTATTGTTAAAATTAAAATTTCAATGACTAATGAACAATTATTGTCTAATAGTTTTATCTGGAGAGTGTTAAATTAGGCAGTTGATGTTAAATGTATTTTAAAAGCTGTTACTCGTGTAGAATATTGTATGTTGTCCATGATGCTTTGGTTAAGTAAAGATCTAACCAGTGGTCAAGGAAGCTTCTTACAACTGGCTAGTTGATAACATAAGGCGTTGGGCACCATACAACAGCACAAGTCAGGGGGTGTTGGCTCACAGACAGTACTGAACACTGAGACAGTACTGAACCATATGACAGTGTGCAACCATGAGACAATATTGAACCACAAGACAGTACAGAACTATGAGGCAGTATTGAACCCTGAGACAGTATTGAACTCTGAGACAGTTTTGAATCATGTAAGACAATTAAACAAAGAGTGTCAAACCAGTGTTTCTAAAGTAGTGACACTCCTGAACAGAGGACAGTTTCAACCAAGGGTACAGAAGTTATTAAAAAGTAAAGAGTAGTTGAACAACATCACACCAGAGCACAGTATTAAGCAGGCCACAGAATCTTAACAGTGGACAGCAAGTGGCCCATATCAATCCACAGTAAAGCATGAAGCAGGTGACTAAAACTCACTGCAAAATCTTTTTTCAGTAAATAAATATTGTAAACACATTTTTTTTCCTTTTTTTGTGCAGTAAAGCTGCAATGTATTGTAAAATAGTAGAGCATAAATACACTTCAATCAAACAGTTTTTAAAAATTTAGGCTATTCTGCCATTTGCAGCTATACATTTTAAGAAAGATTAACTTAGTTAAGTGGAAAACAAAACGTATAAAATCATAAAATCTTGTATCTTTAACATTACTGAAAATATCAATGGTTTGTTTTTCTAATATTTAATAACTTAAGAGCTGCAAGTAATTAAAATGAAATCTGCCAAGAAAAAGTTTTATTCAATTTTTTAAAGCTTCTTCCAGTATGATCCAGCAGGTTACTCAGACTCCCTTTGTCTGCCATTGACACTATACCAGCAATTTCCAGAAATATATATAAACTAGCTTACTATATAGATATATATATATATTTAAGAAAATGTAATAAAGCAAAGTTTTATAGGATTTAAAACATAAATAACTGTTTTAAAATTAATTATAAGGATTAGGATGGGCATAACTTTGCAAACATATATCAGTATTAATTTGCAAAAGTTCATGGGCATAAAGTTGCAAAAAATTCATTAAAATACAAGCTGGAAATGTTTAAGAAGCTTACTGGTTCATTCACTAACCTCAGTGTGAAGAAAACACCAAATATTTTTAAAATCAACACAAGCTAAAGGATTATGTAAAAAGTTTCTTGTTTGCTGCATCTAAAATCATTATCGACTAAATGCTCAAGTTTATTTTTATTAAAATATATTAGAGCATGTCCCTAAAGCTTAAAAGCTGTGCAAGAAAAAACTCAAAAACTCTTGAGTTAAATTTAGGTGCTACTGAATTATACTGTGAAGTTAGAAAAAAAAAATAAGCAAGAACATGGTGCTTTAGGATCATCACCTCGTCGGAAAATTCACCAGCCCAATCATCTTCTTCATCTGAAAGATCTGGACTGTTTTAAATAGATAAAAATACTAAAACATCTGTGCTAGCATTTTCCTATGTAACATAAGATACTATTGCTACTAGCTTACTTCTTAAAAATATAATAAATTTCTGATGTAAAGGTTGTTTAAATTATTAATTTATACTTCTGTTTGGACATAATGAGGGAGAAATTTTAAAATAAATACATTTCAGAGAGCACAAAAATTTGACAAAACATTTCTTCAAATGACAATAAATTTCTACCTTTGATTAAATCCTTGGTTGGGCGGTTTTGGCGGTACATCTGGCTGATAACATTGAACATGGGTTGATTAAATACTAATTACATTAAGAACTAGCGAACTCATTAGACAAAGCAAGAAATCAAAAGAAAAATGTTTTTGTAACAAAAATATCAGTTCCAATTTTTAACAAACAGATGAATGAAATGGAAATTGTAATAATGGTGCTTATGTGATTAAAAATAATTATAAGTTTAAAAAAAATAGTTTTGTTTTGAGGTAGGTCAGCTCATGCATAGATAAAAATCTAGACTTCACCATGTAAGGATATGAGCCTCCAGTAGTTTTTCTTCTTAGCCTATCGGGGGTGTTAAATTTCTTAACAGGTTTATGGGGATCACTGATCTTTCTTTCAATTGCACTAGATGGCTCTGGTTTCACTGCTGCAAATTTTTTATTTAACTGTATCCGTATTTCTTCCAATGTTGGAGGTTTCTTGTGGTCAAATGATGCGTTGGACGGATATGTTCTCTAAGTGATAGGAAGGTTCAAGATATAATACAGATTCAAACTTCTTTTAGTCTACATTTGATAATAACTTCCTGTCTTGATTGCATCTAGCAGAAATTAAGCAGCATTCATGGTTTGATTGAGTACATTCTTGACAGAAACTGTTTGTGCTGGTTACAACAAAAAGTGTTTTCTTGATTTTTTTTTTTTTCAAAATGCAGCCATTTTGTATAAATGGTCTCATAAGAAACCACAGAATTGAAAGCAGTGCACTTCAAACATGCCTTTTATTTGCAGTATGAAAAGTTTTGATGTACCCTTGAGATTTAATAGGTGACCATATGTGATGAGAAGCTGAGGGTTTTTTTAGTGATAAAAACTGCACACTGAACTTTTTCTAAATCTTACAATCTCTAAAACATTTTGACAGTTTAAGTCAATTTAAAAAAAAAAAAGCAAATTTTTGGATATCCCTTAAAGTAAAAAAAAATATTTATCAGAATAAGATAGTTGAAAGCATATGCATAATATATTAATTTATATAGGCCCTTACTAATACATTTGTAATAAAATATAAAATGGCAATTGACAGTGAAGGTCTTTAACTGTTTTGGAAGAAGTATAGTTGTGGTGGGTGAACATATGCCACAGGATGCATCTTAATTAAAGCTGGAAAAATTGTGCCAATCTCAAGGTTGTATATGTTGAACAAAAACATTTTTTTTTAAATTTAAAAGAGAACACAGGAGGTGCAAAATTTGGTGAAAGTTAAAAAAAAACAACAAATGCTGTTCAAGTTGTTTATATTTAGATTAACAATAGTAATTCTCTTAATAATATGTTGAATGTGAAAATCTGAAAAAAAAAATGCTGTTTTTACATTTAGAGAAATGCCTGAAAGCTGTTCATGCTTTAAACTTTAAGCACATTGAAATTCACGTTATTCATTCATGCAATGTCTGTTCTACTGTTTAAATGTACACATAATTTGCAATAAATGGGATTAATAACTGCTGCTAAACTATTTTTTATTTAATGACATAACTGACCATCGTTAACTTGAGTGTTATAACCAAGACAAGGATTTACTGATACCAATGTTTACTTAAGAGAAGTAGTTAATTTTTCCATACTTTTTAAGTTAATATGGTTGTAATGACACCACCCTTTGTAAATGGGACAATTATAATATTAATAAAATGAACCACTGTAATATTAATGAATGGGACAGCTATAATAAATGGAACCACTATAATATTAAGGATAGGACATCTATAATATTAATGAATGGGACGGCCATAATATTAATGAATTGGAAAGCTATAATATTAATAAATGGAACAAATTTAATATTAAAAAATGGGACGAATATAATGTTAAAAAATGAGACGGCTATAATATTAGTAAATGGGGAACTACAATATCAAGAATAGGAGCAGCCTCTAACATTAATAAATAAGGCAGTTAAATGGGACATCTGTTAACATTAGTTAACATGACATCAGATGCAATAGATTACCGGGACAGCAGCTAACAACTCAGGTTCCCCCTATGCCCTATGTACAATCCACTACCAGACATGCAGCATGGATACTTTTTGTTGGGGTCTCACAGCTTTTAAAGAGAGTTGAAAATACCTCTACTTCTGCCATAAAAGGTGGCCGTGTAACAACTGGTTTACTTTGTGGTGCTGACATGTCTTCATAATAATCCTTAAAATTTTAAAAAACATTCTGCATTTACTACACAAGTTGTACACAGTAATAGTTCATGCAACATCTACAATAGCTCCATTAACAGTCTGCCACAGGCACAACAGTAAGAAACACATCTTTCGTCTATTCTTTGTTTTAATTTACACCAACAGAATAAAATAATAAATAACTCAACACTTAAATACAAACAAGTATGTTTTGATTTTAGGTAAATAAAGACAGACATTTTTTTTTTAAATTGTAAGATATTATCTTATTCAAATACAGTTTTAAAAAAGCAACTGTTGTCAACATTGAATTAGATAAGTGCATGTAGAAGATTTTTTTTTTATCACCAATGTTATGTTATTGAAATGTAATCATACATCAGGAATTGCAGTAAACAAGTAACTTTTAGAAACAAACCTCCCTCTGATGTAAATGAAGCTTTATTTATCTCCTAAACTAAAGAATGCATGTATCAACTTAAAATCTACTTTGTGAGTCACACTAAAAAATTAGTGAATTTAAATAGTCTGTAGTTAAGAGGGTAAAAAAAAGCTTAGGCATGGTATTGGCTGGAAGTAAAGCTTGTGTTAATTTTGTGGTGAAAAAGCAAAAATACAAATTTAGTGGCTTGTATTTAAGGAGATTTAGAGGTATGTTACTGAAAAGTTGAAAAAAAATCTACTGGCTTTGAAGTTATATTGGAATAAAAAAATATTTAAAACTACAGAAAAATTATTTGAGATATATACTCTGAAGCTTTAAAATAATTTTAAGAGGGCAATTCTTTTCAATCTTTGAAAGCTATGATATAATGTAAGCAAAATGTTAACAAACAAAAGTGAACTTTTAAAAAGATTAATGTAATAAAAGAATACTATTATCTTTACATTTTTAAATTATTAGAAATAAAGAACATAATCTACAATAAATTAAAATATTAGAAGCTTAAGCTTTATGTGTGGATAAATTGCTAGACTTATTAGATTATTTCCCTTTAGTACCTGCACAGGAATCTGGGGCTGCTCATAAACTTCATCGTCTTGACTTACACAATGACTCTGTGACTGTTGTTTAAACATTATCTAAGGTGATAGTTATGATAAAAAGGTAATTTTTCTCAAACTGATTGAATTAAAAAATTCTATATAAGGGGAAATGCCAAAAAAAAAAAATCAGACATCAATGCACATGACTTTAATTGGTTTTTTTTTTTAGAGGTGAAAGGCAAAGGGATCTATATAAGGACCAGTAGGTAGATATGGATTTGACAATATAGCACATATATGAAAACCACAAGAAAGATACAACTTATTATATTGCACAACTAAGGCAGAAAAATATCAAGTTGACACCTTAAATAATATAACCAAAATCAAGAGAATCTTATAAAGTTGACATGACGTACCTAAGATAGAACCACTAGAAAGATATAAAGCTGACATGGAATACCTATGATAGAACCACTAGAATGATATAAAGTTGACATGAAGTACCTAAGATAGAACCACTAGAAAGATATAAAGCTGACATGGAACACCTATGATAGCACCACTAGAATGATATAAAACTAACATGAAACACCTATGATAGAACCACTAGAATGATATAAACCTATAATAAAATCATTAGAGCAACATGATAGAGCCAATAGAATGATATAAAGCTGACATGAGGCACCTATAATAAAATCATTAGACTGATATAACGCTGACATGATAGAACCATGAGCCACAAGTTCTACTACACAACCACCATGCCTAATCAGTAACAATATTCTTAACAATTAAAAAAAAATTAGCTTCATTGTGTGTAAACCAATTTAGCAGTACAAACCACACAGAACTAAATGTATAGATCTAGTTGTTATTTACCACTTTAGACTAGTAATTTCAACTGATACTTTATCAATCACCTACAGACTGGGAGCTTTATATCAATGTTATCGGACATGGGCCATAGAATATAAAGCTAATCAGATTTTTTACATTCCTACACAAATTTTGATCATGTTTTTTCTTTTCACTACAGTAAGAGGGTATGCTCTCGTATGCTTTTTTGTTATGTGCAATTGCATGAATCAGTCAGTTAGTGGGTATCTATTAAGGGGAGATCATTCTATTTACAAAACTATTGACAACATATACACACTCAAACATAATTACTACACAACATGAATGAAATTTTCAATCAAAATGTCAACAAATAATTTAGTAACAGTTACAGAATAAGGTTAATCCAGTTAACAACAACATGCTTAGAAAACAGTTAAAATATTATATTACCATCACCGTGACTTAAAGGAAAAAAATAAAATTAAAGTTCTTATTAAAATATAATTTTAATAAGAGGATAAAAATATTTTTCTTTTGTATTAGAGTAGAGTGCTGTAATTTTTTAATTCATATAGAATGTCTGAAATATAAGTGATTGTGAATAGTAATAATAAATAATTCAGGAACTAATGCTTGTAGGAATTAACTTTAGACTTTTACAAATCTAAAAAAAAAATAATTTAGTTTTATTCTTAGCACAATTTATTTAAATCTCTCTACTGCCCAATATACAGTTCTTGTCTCCCTTTTAATTACTTGTGACAAACTATAGTTGTATCTAATCTAGTCTTCAAAAATAAAGCATCATTCTGACAATGGGAGCTAACAAAGAAATGGGAACATGTGTTCTTGTTAGTGGAGATCCTTTCTCTAATGTTGAGGTAAAAGGCATTTAAAGAAGCTTAGCAAGGATCCTATGTAGCTGCAACTTAAGTTCCAAATGTTGTTAAAATGTAAGCGTTGTATGCAAACTGTATTACAAAATCCAGATTCTAAATTTTAAAAATCATGAAATATTTGAAGATTTATTTATCTTTTATCAGGTGCAAGCATAGAGAGGTATACAAACAAAAGTGTGGCCCGGCAGGAGAGGTTTGATTGTGTATTTAAATTTTTTTTTTGCATCAGAAAAGTTAAGGCTGTATATTTATTACATTGATAAAATATGAACTTTAAAAAAATACTTTGTGCATGAAAATAATAAAAAAAAAAAACTACATTTTTCAAAGATTGATTACTAAAGAAAAAATTGTAAACCTGCTAAATTAATTAATGAATGAGTAATTACAAAAACACAATTAATTATGCAATTAAAAACTTACTTCCGTTGAAGGAGGTGGAGGATTTCTGTTTGGGAGTGGAGGTGGAGCAGACTCCTGTCAAACGTACAGTTTAGTTGTAAGTGAAGCAATTATCAATAATAAAAAGAGCAAAAAATTTAGTAAAAGCTCACATTCTACACAAACTTAGCTGTTTATCAGCCCAGCTGGAAGTAATTAATTAAAGATTGGCTAATTAAGGCAGATGTTCGAGGTGCTAATCTGAAAAGGCTGTCAGACATTTAACATGTTTATTGAAGCTGATAATTGAATCTTGGTGTTGAGGACTTGGGACAATTATTCTTTTACATGGAAAGCATGGAGCATTAATATATATTTTTTAAATCACTTCTTTTGTTTTTTGGCAAATTTTTATTGATATATGAATATAGTTATTATTAGTGTTTAAAAGCTTATTCTGTAACTGTTTTAGCAGGTGCATTACATTGGGCTTAGGACTACATTTTTAAAATGTACGAGTACTTATGATTTATTCTACTTTGAAATAAATTATTTTAAAAACTGGAAAACAATAAATACCCTACAAAACTGGTATACAAATATTACTATAAGCTTCCTTGCACTTAATTATTAAGCATTTTAGCTTTTCAAAGTATAAGATAAAAGTTGTTTAACAAAGAGTGTAACATTTCTAAAGAATTTTACACTTACCCCTGCACCGGGCTAAAACAAAGTAAATAACATTTTAAAATGACAATTTACAATAAGTAAAAAACATTAAAACATGACAAATAATTTATCCTTACTTAAAAAACAAAAATTGTTTAATAAAAAATTTAAAACTATGCAACTACAATTATGATACTTGAATAAAAAATAAACTATCTAAATGAAATTTGCAAATAACTTCCTTATTATTTTTTCATTATATTGATCAAAATAAAAGCTATTTATCTTTTTAATTTAATGCTACATATACTGAAGACCTAACATCTATTGAGAAGAGTATACTTACCACTATTCCAGGCTAAAACAATAAGAAAAGGTTGTTAAAAAGAGGAAAATAATTACAAAAAAAAAAAGGTATAAAAAATTTAAAATTTTTTAAAGTCTTGTTTGAAAAATCAATGCTAGTGACAGTGTGAGTTACAGGAATGAATATAATATTGAAATAAACATCATACTTGAATGAACAAGATATCTTAGAGCATAATGACTAAATAAGACAAAGAAAGCTATACCAAACAAAGAAACAGAAAAGCAGACACTTAGTACTTACAGGTGGAGGAGGTGGCCGTCTTGAAGTCATCATTCCAGCGATTGTATTACTTGGAAAACTAGAAAACAAAGACAAATATGTACCAAGAGGACTACAGATATTTCATCAAAGAAAATAAATTTTACAATGATCCTATGGTGGAAATATATATTTTTACACAGCATTAACACATACAATATGTATGTGATGATATCACCTCCCACCCAAAATTAATTATAATTAAAAATTTTAATGTAGTCTAATAGTTAGGTAGTGTAATGGTTAGAGACATGGCTAGAATTAGACACATGTCTAGGATTAGGGTTATGACTAGGATTATAGATATTATCTAACTTTAGATAATTCATTATTGAATGGCTACACCATTTTCAAATGTGTGCCTACCGTCCACATTCTTATTTAATTAACATTGACTTTATATTGATTATCTAAGCAGAAGTAGCACATAAAACAGATGTTTTAGGTCAGGTTATGTAACATGTTCTTATTACTAATTAGTACTAGATCTAGGTAAAACTCAATTTTAGCGTATTTTATTCACCGCTTCACGTTCACCTCAGGTTGAGCATATTTTATTATAAACACAACTGAAACACACAAAAACCCAAGATCTATATATTACAGACTATAATCTATATATTTGTGGGTCAGTTGGTATTGAATGCTAAACTAAAAAAGTTGACAAAATGTCCAGTGGTAGATGAACTAGATGAGGCTCATAAGCTGGGGACCACAACCCAGTAAAACTCCATTTTAGCGTATTTTATTCGCCGTTTCATGTAAAAATATTATAAATAAGCATTACAGGAATAGCGTGTGATCATCGGCGGGAGAAAAATCCCTATATGGTCAAGGGTTCAGCCTGAGTTCACATTGACTTTAATTATCAGCATACGTCATGCATAGGGCCATTGTGAGTTCATGTAAGTTATTTTATTCATTTATAGTATCATGCCTTGCAATTATGTGTTTCTACTTTACCCATAGTCATAGCCATGAAAATCTTAACTGACACGAACATATTTTCAAGAAATAAAAAGTTAAATCTAGATCTAGATTCCATATTCAAAATTTTGGATTTTTCTCAAGTTTTGACAAAATTAATTTAAAAAACTAAACAAAAAATTCATAAAGAAATAGGCCAAGTGATTTCCTAACGTTTTAGTGTGTTTCAGTTGTGTTTATATTAGTTTATAATAAAATACGCTCAACTGGAGGTCAACGTGAAGCGGAGAATAAAATACGCTAAAATGGAGTTTTACCCCACAACCCACCAAATAAAGTAAAAAAGTTTAAAGTACTTGGTTTAAAGTTTAGTAGATTCTGTCTAGATCTATTAGTTTAGTTATTATTTAATATTTATAACAAACGTCAACCATGATCATCAACAAAAGTAAAAGTCACTCAAAAGTGTCAAAAGACTAGCGATTCTCTCTATTCATATTGTCATTCTACTTTCTACAGTAACAGTTCTATAATAATAATTCTACACCACTCTGGCTAGACCTAGATCTACAAACAATGAGATCTAAAGTCTAAGGTTATGAGATAATTTCTGATATTTCGTTTCGATCTTGGTCTATGAGCAGTCTTTAGTCTTTATTTAAACTTAAACTTATAGCAACAAAAGAAATGTCAATACCTCTTTCAATCTTTACAACTTTCTTCCTGGTAGATTAATTACTACTTCCTTGTTTATGAACTGTATTATTTTTATTTCGCTTTTTTGTTGTTGTTGTTGGTCATTTATTTATAAATGATGAAGTTAATAAACTAAGTTGCTTTTGTTCTGAAAACCGGAGTTTCTTTTCTTTTTTATATTATAAAACTTGTCTTTTTGATGAACCTAAATAAATTAAAAATAAAGGTTTTTAATTTTTTTTTGTTAGGTATTTTTTTTATTATCTACTAGATCTAGATCTATAATCTAGGTAGACCTATAATGCTATAATGCCTATATATTAAAAATATCATTACTAAAATTTAAAATACGTGTTATATTAAGCCTAACACTACTTACACTAACAGGAAATTATAACATTTTTTACCCAACCTACCACATATAAAGTTATTTAACATTTCTACAAACTACTATTGTATATATTACATAATATTTTCTAGGGCCACCCCACCATATACATGAATGACTTAATCTAATATACTATATAGCCCTAGATGTATTTTAAATTGCCTTACCTCAAACAATGTGCTAAATAAATTCCTTAGTAATAGATAACCCATCAAACAATTGATTAACTTTTATCAAGAAAGGTCTCAATAAAAAAATGTTAAGAAAAATGCCACATTTTCTTCTCAAATGAGTAGCCTATCATCAAAATGCTATGAAACGTTTAGATGATTACATTTAAAATAAGATACCCATTGTGATTTTTTAAAAAAGAAATTCTGTGCCTTTGCAACAACTGCTAATTCGGAGGCTCACTACCACCTCCCCATCCATGCAAAGGAAATATTAAATTTAAAAAGAAAACACATACTTTAACCATTCTTATAAGTGTCCCCTTCCCCCTCTAAAGTTTCCAAGCAAAATGTCTAAGAAATTATAATATTGAGGTTAAAAGATTGGCAGTGTTGAAGATGACATCTGTCCATTTCTCTTTCTCAAAGCCAGATACTGAATCCAGATACAACAGCAGCTTCAAAACTCATGTTTTCTTTTATCATACAGTCAAAAATAACATTTGAGCCTAAAATTCTGCTGTATGTCCCACGCATTGTGTAATACAATTTTAAGTTTGAAATTTTATACATTTTATCATGTTAAGAGCCATTTGTTCATGTGTCTGTACTTGCGAATTTGAAATATCATTTATTTGAGAGCATTTCAACATTAGGAGTTTTAGAAATTTTGCTATTATTTTGTATTAAAGAACAATGTATTGTCTCACTGGCAGAGTTTCTTCCAGGCATCTCTTCGGGGGGGCTTAGCCCCCCCGAAAATTTTTTACCGCCCCCCCCCCCGAACGAAATGAAATTTATATAATTTATATAGAAAATATATACTTTTAACAGTGTCCGCCCCCCCGAAGAAAGTTTACCGCCCCCCCCGAAGATTTCAAGTGCCCCCCCCGGAGAAAAAAGTCTGGAAGAAACACTGCTCACTGGCAGATAGCCTAAGTTCCATAATTATTACAGATGGGGAGTTGACTATTGGTAATGGGTTTGTTTTTTTGTTGTTGAGTGAAGTTGATACAACCAGAGGCTGGAGTGGAGGCTATAGCAACTGAGTCTTTGAAGCAAATAATTATTGATCTGGGAATGACATGGTCCAGCAGTAAAGTGCAATACAACTCAATTGTCATGAGTTTGGAACCAGGCTTGAGGCCATAGTTTTTCTCAACAGAACAGCCCCTAAAATATCCAAATCAGGTGGTGCCAAGCACAGAAGAAGAAATTAAAGCCTTGCAGGAACCCAGGCATCTAGATGCTGGGAATCTGGATGTGAGATATGCTTGATTATTTATCCTGGGTAATAAACAGTGCTTGAGCCAGATATGCCTGTATGTGAGGTAATTGTTTGGTCCAGCAAATTAAACTGGTCATTACTTATTTTTTACAACAAATCTGAGTCTTTGAGACATTTAGGCAGATAGAGAGGACATTTTCAGAGGAATATATTTTTTTAAAGAAAAAAATTGTTACTAAAAAAATAATTGAGTCTGTCACCTTTAGTTGAACACAAGATTTAAACAAGACACAACCCAGTTCAAGAGAGGGCAGAGCATGATTATAAGTTTATTTTGAGATAAATTGAAATTATATATCTTTATTACAAAAATTAGTTATTTAAACAAAACAAAGAACAGAAATTATTTTAGTGAAAGAAATATGTAATTATTAATATAGTTTGACAAGAAAAAGCTGCTTAAATGTGGTTTATAAATAAATGACCGGTAGTAAACAATTATGATCTTTTAAATTCTTTTAGTGCTGCTAGAGCTGCCAATCTTCCAGGAGCTCCCATAACACCTCCACCTGGTAAAATCATAGAGTTCAAAATGTTAATCATGATAACAATCTTTAATTTTTAAAAATAAGAAAATAATTTATGAAAATTTTTAAAATGACAATTATAATTATAACAAATGAAGTGGTATTTAAAATACAAGTACTTCACAATACATTTTATTCAATCTAATATCAAAATGATAATTGCCTGGATGAGAGCTGCTTCCACAGAGATAGAGTCCATTAATTGGGCATTTATAATTAGATAAATTGATGGAAGGACGAGAGAAGTACAACTGATCCAGGGACAATGCTCCATGAAAGATATTCTGAAAAAAAAAAGTTTTGAATAAAAGAAGCTTACAAAATATTTTAAAAAGTAGGAGGTAAGAAATATAATTTTGTTACATCAATAGTGACCAGTCAATAATATCAAATATATGGATATGATTTAATGAAAAAAAGACAATCATGTCTACTATTTTGAGAGTTACACAATTAAAGCTTAATTTCAAGGAAGGTAAAAATAGCCAATCTTTGCTATACTGGAAATGTTTAACTGGTAATTGGTTTTTGATACACTAAACTGAAAATGTTGGGGTTATATCACAAGTAGATTTGTACAACTCTTCAAAACTTTTACTCCTAGCAACATTAGATTCTACTGTTTAAAACATTAAATGTAGTTTTGATGGTGTAAGCCCATTTATTTTTTTAATAAAATTTTATTTCAAATATTGTTGCAAATATATAAATTCTGCATGTGATAAAGGCCACACCAGTTTATAAATATTAAACTGGCCTGGTATTGTTAAAACATGTAATATGAAGGGTTAAGTACTTAGTACAGAATCAATAAATGATATTTACCCCTCCAGTGAGACCAAAGGTCTTTTCTAGGTCTGGTGGTGTTAAGATATCTCTTCCTACTACAGAATTTATGAAGCCTGGAGCATACTCTTCAATGTTGCTGAATACTGATGCAAAGGTAAAAAGAAATTATATGAGGTACTTTGCCAGATGAAACAATTTTGTAGGTGATAAAACTGATTGATCTACAAAAAAACTTTTTTTGTAGATGTATTTTAATGTATGCAGTATGGTGACCGGGCAGATGGAAAATGCGCACAAAAAAGTGCGAAAGGGCATTTTTGTTTTTTTTTAATATAAGCATTTACAGAAATTAACACAGAATGAACACATGTAAATTGTAGCATAATAAAACACCTTTTCCATGAAAATAAAATTGCACAGTTTTCCGTTTGCACATTTTTCTGGGAACCTTGCAGTACAATATACTTTATTCTACACATTCTGATCAATGAGTAAATGCCCTTGTTGTCGCTTGTTTAATTTATGGATATTCACAAATATTTATCAACTTACTTATGTTATTACAATCACTATGAGCAATGAGCCAATGTTTTTATGACTTTACATTAACTGTAGCATTTTTATAAACAGAAGTAGGACCAACATAAATATTCCAAACTTGCTAGTTAAAGTAATAAAGGAATCTGAGCAATTATCAGAGAACTAAAACAAGATTACCCAGATCAGCATACTGGTTTTTCTTTTCCTCAGTCCATTCTCCATCAGCTAAATGGTAGGGAGTGAACTGTGTGAACAGTAGGACCACATGTTTACCACTGGGGCACAGTGTTGGGTCCAAGCTTGAAGGTATCACCATTTCTACCATTGGGCTATTAATAGTACATACACATTTTACACTAATGCAGTTATTGCTATCAATAAAATTACATTTTACATTTTGGATATTTCATTACTTTTTTTTGCTTTATTTATTTTGTGACTTTATGAACACATATCAGTAGTCCTAAAGGCTAAAAATGAATTTTGTTTCGAGAAAATTTTTATATCATAACTAGCGTACCCGACCCCCGCGCGTTGCCGCGGGGATAGAAGAAAGTTTGACGAAATATATTAGGATTTCACCAATGCGTTATCAATTATAATTATATGTTCTTAGACGCGTAACCTTCTTTTCTAAAAATGAGTAATTTAAATGTAAACAATGCCTGTTCTTGGATCATAAATATCAGGACTCGGGTTTACCTACACTACGGCATGAAAACCTTGAGTGTACATTAATCACTCACTGAAATAATTTGGTAACACACTTCGGTGACCGCCTCTGTGTCAGAGCGTAGAGGGGCGTTCTCAGGGCCCCCACCCCCCTCCCCCCGATTACACTACCGCTTGGCGCGGCGTACGACCCCTGGCTCCTTAAAAGTAATAGGCGCCATCGTGCCAAATAGCATCCTGTTAATAATGATGCAGATTTCATCATTCGCTAAAGTGCCACAAATGAACAGGATTTTTTTCTTTAACACGTAAAAAAGTATTTGACGTGTTTTAAACATCAGTGTGACTGATGCAATATGCTAGCGTTACTAATGGTCTATTATTAGATGCTCAATCTCAATTTCTGACTGGATTGTCTAATAGTAGATGCTTATTGCATCATTCGCAAGGTGACGAAACCGGACAGAAGGATTTCCTTCGCGTTACAAAGTTATTTTTAGAAGACTGTTGTAGTTTTACCGCTGAATATAGTAGTACACCTTACTCGCTATGCAGGACGCTCGATTAACGGATGCCAAGTGCCAACATAGTCGCTCTAAAACTCTGGGCGCCAAACCGTTGTTGACGAAAATTGTACCCTCCATGGCGCCGCCCATAAGAAATTTTAGGTGTTTTTTTTCACAGAAATATTCTCGAGAGTATTCTCATCTACTTTCCAAAGTTTTATGGCACTCAGATGAACCGCATTCAAGTTTTATTTTTATAAACCGTATATGGTGAAAAATCGCAACCTACCGTGGCGCCGCCCTTGCGAAATTAAAAAGGATTTTTTTTTTACAGAACCCTTCCCTGAAATGCTCTAATCAACTCCCCAAAGCTTGACGGTGATTGGATGAACAGTGTGAATCTGCAATCGACTCTTATTTTTTATATACCGTTTATAGAGAGAAAACAAATCGCGCCCTACCGGAGCGCCACCGCTGCGAATTTGAAAATGTATTTTAAGCAGAAACCTCCCCAGGAACATTCTCAACATATTCCCAAAGTTTGATGGCGATCGTGTGAAAGATGTCACTGTAATTCACTTTTATTATTTTTATATACCGTATATAGAGAAAAATCGGACCCTCCCGTGGCGCCGCCCTTGCGATATTAAAAATGATTTTTTTTACAGAGCCCTTCCCTAGAGTGGTATAATGAACTCCCCAAAGTCTCATGCCTATCGGATGAACAGTGTGAAATCAAAATAGATTTTTATTTTTATATACCGTATATAGAGAAAAACAAATCGCGCCCTGCCGGGGCGCCACCCCTGCGAATTTGACATTTTTTTTTTCGCAGAAACCTCCCCAGGAATATTCTCAACAACTTCCCAAAGTTTCACGGCGATGTGATAAGAGGTGTGGTAATGCATAAAAGACACACAGACAGACAGACAGACACACACACATACATTGCTTTTTATATATATAGATAGATAGATTTAGGAATCAGTGTAATGATAATTTGATGAAATTGAATTTTTTAAATTTTCCAACAAAACAGAAAAATTTACAAATTTACAAATAAAGTAAAAAAAAAATTTAATTGCTATTCGATCGCACAAATAACTAAGGACAAAGCCGTTTGTGTTTTTATTTGTTTTTAAAATAATTTGGGCCTTTGTTTACTAACCGTTTGGTGATTTTGCCTTGCTGAGCTTCAACATAAGAATCGTGGATAAGCTGACTGTTCTCACAGTTAATATGTATAGAGCATCTGTGGTGAACCATTGGCTCATTTTCTCGCCGATTAGGATCTGCTCTGAAGTTTGGGATTCTATCAACAGCAACTACAGTGGGAAACAGTTAATAATTACTGACTAGGCGAATCTGCTGATTAAAATCAGAAAAACAAAACAAATTTTAATTTATTAAAATGTACCAGAGTAAAAAATAAATGTTTAAAGGATAAGGATGGTATAGGCTTAAAGATGTTACATTTAGCAGCAGTTATTTCTATCTCTAAGTCTGTTGGTAAAACTTAACACAGTCCTGTAATTATACAGCTAATCAGAAATATTTAACTATTTTCAGGCATTTTATTTGATATTGTTGGTATAACAGATTTATATTATTTACACATTTTTTCAAACAATCAGCAATACTGTTATTGGTCAATACATTTATAATATTATTTTGCATCAAACTATGGTTAGAGTGCCAAATATAAAACAAAAATTACCATTTATTTTTGTGACAGGAGATGTGAAATCAACATTTTTTAGATCTCTTAAAATTTCTTCTGGTAATGACTCCTGGGATGATAGACAAATATTTGCTTATGTAATTAAAATAAAAATTGTCTCTTGATATAACGGATAACAGTTGTGTCCCAAAAAAACAATTCACATTTTACATCTCTATTAAAAGATATACACAAAAGTAAGTAAACCTTCATTGGCATAACAGCTCTTTAAAAAGGATGACCTTATTATTTTTAATCTAGTATTAATGTAAGATTTTATAAACAATACTTTTTTGTTTATAAGAAAATTATGGATATAAATTAAAAGGCTTTAACTGTCATGTGCTCTACCTTTGGCAGAAGATCCAAGTATGTAACTTTTGAAGTCGCATTGGACAGAACAATCTTAGCTTTAATTTCCGTTCCATCGGATAATACAACCCCTTTAGCAACATTTTTCTCCATAATAATAGAAGACACTTGCTAAAACATAAATTTTTAATGAGATTTTCATACTTAAATGGTACAACACCTAATGCAAAAGAAAATTTTAACATTAAGTTATTACAGTTATTTAATTAATAGTATTATTTTAGCAGTTATACTTATTTTTATTATTAAACATAAGATCACCTTGTTACAAAACACTGAAGCTCCGTGATCTACAGCACAATTAGCAATTGCTTGAGACACCCCTCCCATTCCACCTTCAACATAAGCCCATGCTCCCTTTATCCCCTCTAATTCACCCATCACATGGTGCAACAGAACATACCTGGTATGATATATCTCAAACATTAATCAATCATAGAACACATCAATAACATATGACAAACATTAGCCAATCACAGAACACAACAATGATATGTTCTTGATCTTACAATAGCTTTACACACATTAGCATTCTCAGCAACCTCCAATTAGGATAACTTTGTCAAGAACTTTAAAAAATAGATATATAAAAAGAAATTTTTATTAAAAATTATAAAAAGAACAATGTCTAGAAAAACTAAAAAATAAAAAATAAAATTCATGTTATGCATTAGACTGGTACAGTAAATAAATTATACAATGATTGGTGCAAAGAAATATGTTGCTTACCCACTCCCAGGATGCAATGGACTTATCATAGCACCAATAACACTATCTGTGGCCAGTGTTGCCTTCAGTGGCTCAGACTCAAACCATTTATTCAATATCTTAAAAATAGGAATACATTTAATACGAACAGAAATTAAATAAATGAGACTATAATGTAGCACTAAATTCAAAGCCATGAGCAATCTCATACATTATCACTTACTAATGACATAAACTGATGTAGATATAAAAAGAGTAATAGCATGCTGTCACACTGTGGAGCCACCTCTAGCATTATCCTTTACCAACTACTGTAAACAATATGTCTGTGCTATGTACAGTGCTTCTACACTAATAAAACACATGCTTTTATAAAATGAGTTAGGTTTATTAAAATTTTAAAAACATTTACTTGGGGATAATTAAAGCAACAAACAACAAGAGGGAGCACATAAAAAGTTCTAAAAAACTCAACTGGAAAAAACAGGGAACAATAAATAGTAGCTATTACAAACATTGTATCAAATTAAAGTATTTTTTACTTTAGCTAATGCACACAAAGAAAATAAATTTTAAAAATCTTTCAGCTTTTTTAAAAAGCCAGTATTAAATAATCTATAACAAGGTTGCACATTTGAAAAATGATTTTTACTTTAGAATTATAATCTATGTACTTAGAAAAAGTATAATATACAATAGGCTAGCAATTAAGGCATAATAATTACAAATGTAATGGATATTTAATAATACTTAAAAGGAAATAATGAATTTGTTAATGAAATATTAAATTTGTTCTTGATTAATGCTGTTAGATTTCTAATTTTCGTCTTCTTTTTTGTAGAGACAAGTTGAGCTATTATGTTATTTTTGGACAAAGGACCTGTGTGATGTGTGCATTGTGTTACACAGTAGTGTGTATACAAAATATGGGTTACACTAATGTAGTTTGATAGGCAAGAGACAAAGTATAAATAAAGTGTGATGTATGTAGAAAGTGGCATACCTAAATGTAATGAGTTGGTAGAGAGATGTTAGCAGATGTGTTTGTTAAAACCCTGATAATTAAGGTTTGGTGAGAAAAGTGGAGAAAAGCTGACAACAGTTCGCATTAGATTAGGTTCTGTAGATAGACAATGAATTATTGTTATTTAAACTTTTGTAACAAAACAATAAAAGTTAACCATTACTTGCTTGATATTCATTTACATTATGAATGGCATTATTGTGCATAAATTTATTCTTGTACAACCGATCTGTCAAAAGTTGCATAGCAACATTCAGAATGTCACAACACTGAAAAAATTGTTTCTGACTTGGCAAATTTTAAAACAAATAGGAACATTAAAACAAATACGTTTTTTTTTAAGTGAACACAATTAAAAAACATATTTTGTTTAATTATCCAGGTTGTTTTCTATTACGATTTTAAAATACCATTTGTTTTTAGGATAAAATGTCTGCAACTTAAAACCTATGGTTGAAACATTTTTGTTAAGATTATTTTCAGTAGTATTAATTTTTCTGAATTTTATAAAATTAGTAAACTTACCTAAACTATAAACCAGCAATATGTTTATCTGACATACACAATTGTGTTGATATAAAATCTAAATTTCTGCTCATAGTCTAGATTAGGGGTCTCCAGACTTTTCAGCCCGAGGGCCGCATTAACTATCAAACATAAGTTCGGGGGCCAGAGTTTCTTCAAGGCATCTCTCCCCTGTGGCAGAGCCCCCCACCCCTAAAAAAAGTCTACCCCCCCCTCAAAATATTGAATTTATATAGAAATATACATACATATATATATATATATATATATATATATATATATATATATATATATATATATATATATATATATATATATACACACACACACACAAATTTCAAGTACCCCCCCCCCCCCCCCCCCCCCAGGAAAAAGTCTGAAAGAAACACTGTCGGTAACCCGTCCAAGTTTGTTCTCAATTTGTTCTTAACGTACTTCATTCTTGAAAATGTTTGTATGTTGTTCCAAAAATTTGAAAGGTACTTTGATGCAACAGTTTTAATATTAGGAAAGTCTTCCTTGGGCAAATATTTTAAAACCCACCCTCCCTTATTTGAACTTGTCTTTAAGGATGTCATTTGCTGGGCAGCTGGCCAAATTTGCTTCAATGGTATTTGCACCCAATGCTACATTTTCAATTTGTTTTGAATTTTCCAACATTTTTTTTCTAAGGACCGGATGAGAAGACACAGGCCGTAGTTTGGAGACCCCTGGTCTAGATAGTTTCCAATTGTAATTATAATGTAGAGATTATTTACAAATACTCTAGTGACTTTAGGTCAGGGGTCTCCAAACTTTTCAGCCCGAGGGCCGCATTAACTATGAAATATCAGTTCGGGGGGCCAGAGTTTATTTAAGGCATCTCTCTTCCGCCCCCCCCCCCCCCCCTCAAAGAACGTCTACCGCCCGCCCGTCCCCGAATAATGTCTTCAGCCCGCCCTCCCTCCCCAAATGAAATATAATTTATATAGAAATATTTACAAATTTCAAGTGTCCATTCCCCCCCTCCCCCCCACGGAGAAAAAAGTCTGGAAGAAACACTTTTGGGGGTCGACAACACACTCGAGGTCCAAGTTTGCTCTCAAATTGTTCTTCACGTATTTCATTCTTGAAAAAGTTTGTTCTCACAGGTATGTTGTTTCAAAATTTGAAAGATACTTAATGCAAATGTTTTAATGTTAGGAAAGTCTTCCTTGTGCAAAAACTTATTAGAACCCACCCGCCCTTCTTTGAACGTGTCTCTAAGGAAGTCATTTTCTTGCAATTCAATGACCTCCAGCTGCAGTTCATCTTTGCTTCAAATGGGCTTTGAAACAGTCTCACTTCTGCCTTTGAATCCATGTCAGAGAACCTACTGAAACTGCAGCTGGAGGTCTTTGATGATCATGTGAAAATGACGTGGGGAATTCATTGGCTGCTTCAGCCGTAAAGAACTTGCACTGATGAAAGTACGTCAAGTTGTTGACCTGTAGTTGTTCCAAATACATGACAAATTTGAATCTGAAGGCCTTTAGGTGGGTGTATAGATCAGAAACTAGATTTCACTCTCTTGCCGTTTTAGGTTCAGAAAATTTAAATGACTAGTTATGTCTGCAGCAGAGGCCAATTTCTATACCCACTCTTCATCAGACAATAATGGCTCTGGCTTGCCTTTAATATCAGGAACTCCCCTATTTCTTTTCTTAGATACTCTGCTCAGAATTTTCTCGCAAAATTATCAATCTTACTGATACTGAAATATGGTAAATCTTGCGAACTAAACTCTGAACTATCTATGGTTAGATATCCTCTTCGGTAACACTGGCATACATTCTATGTAGGGAAGCCAGCTCTTGAGAGGTGGAACAACTCTCCAGCGACTCAACCTTTGCAACTGAATAATGGCGAAGCTTGCTTGCATATTTTGCTATTTGAGTCACAATGTTTTCACCAATGTCTGCAACACGGCGGGCAATGGTACTTGCACCCAAAGCTACATTTTTCAAATTGTTTTGAATTTTCTGTGCAAAGTTCTTCAGTCACCTCTAACAACATTTATTTAGTGGACAAAAAGATCGTCGCGGGCCGGATGAAATGACCCCTCGGGCCGCATCCGGCCCGCGGGCCGTAGTTTGGAGACCCCTGCTTTAGGTTATAGAATGAATAATAGAGTTGTAAATGACATGTAAAGCTAATGAGAATATTTGATGATATCTACAAAAATGAAAACAACCAACTTACCACATTGTTATTTTAGTAATATAATTATTTAGTTAACAGTTCATTTAGCACCACATTGAAATTAAAAGCTATTCAATTTTAAAAAATTGATTTAAAAATAAAAAAGTCAAATGCATGCAACATTTTTGTTTACTTACAACCAAAATGATATAACTGAAAAGTCAGATAGTAGTTCATGAGCAAGAATTAGGGATTGTATTTAAAAAAAAACAACACCAAAAATAATAAACATAAATAAAAGATACAGACATACCATTTTGTAATAACTTAAGTTATGAACACAGTGGTTGAAGGAAAATCCTAATAAACATTTTCATAAGCCACTTTATATGGGTATATACATACAGATATGAAAGAGTGATAATAAGCATGTATATAACTGAAACAATAGCAACATACCTTTGAAGCAGGCGCAGTCATCAGCTCATAAAATGCTGGTAAATCACTGCCAATTGATTTTACTGTCAATTTGATAAGAGGGAGTGTGTTGTAGTTAATAAAATAATATTTAACCAATACAATTTAAAAAACAAAAAAGCTAGGCCTACACAAACTAAATATAAACAGCTGTTAAAAAAATTCACATGAAGATCCTAAAGCTAAGGCAGATTTAAATCCAGTCCACTTTTCTTTCAACGATAATCCTTTGTTTGAAATAGGCACTGGTGGGTTATCTAATAGTGGGTCAAGGGCAGACACTATTCTGTCCAGCTGCTTCTCATAATCACCAAATGCCTTAAATGGAAATACCATCAATCAGCAAATAATGTTTCCTACATTAAAACCTGGACTGGTATAAAATGAACAGCGTTATACAATTATTAAGAAACAGTATTTGTATATTTAGAAGTGAACAGAGAACCTATCTGAAATGCAATTTTTTAATTAAATTGTGATGCTAACCTTTGCATCTTTAAGAGAAAATTTAGCTATTTCTTCTGCAGTTTTCTTAGAATCTCTACTGATAGTCAAAGATGTAGCTTTTCCATTCAAGCCAGCAGGCTCCAGTAAAGGTGTATAAGAGCTTGGATTACGTAAATAGATTTTAAGCCCATATTTCTGTTGAAATTTCAAACAATGTCTATAATTGCTTACATATATTTACATCTGAATAAATTTTAATACACAAAGCTACTAATAAGATTATCTTTTAAGCAAAATAATAAGTACTGCAAATAAATTTTACATCCTTTCTAAAATGTCAGACCAAGAACAACAGCAACATAATGTTTTGACCTAAACCATTCAAAGAATGATCTCTTACAAGTGAAATCTACCTAGTGAAATAAAACAAACACCTTCAACTCCAAATCCTTCATTATTTGAGGTCTTATGAGACTGAGCAGATATGAGGCCCTTGAAAACTTAAAACCTAGATATAAATTAAACAAAAGAATGGTCAGACATGGATGCATAGCTTAAAAGTGTACATTTGTTAGAAAAGTAAAACCAACAGTGTAAAGAAATACTTTAATACTCTAAAATAAAATAAACTTTAAAAGAACATTCTGTACTTATTAAACTGTAAAAAGGAATGTAAAGTTGCAGTTATTTTAGTATACTTGAATAAAGGGAATATTAAGCTTTATTTATTGTAGTATAGAGTATGTATGTATACATATAAGTACCTGGAATTATCTCCTCTGTAACAGCAGCACCACCTATAACATGTCTTCGTTCTAATATACAAACATCCAATCCAGATTTTTGAAGATATGCAGCCTTAAAGAAATTATGAAAAAATCCATCAATAAGATATGTATTGTGAGTAAACTATAATCGGCTACTGTTTTGTTACAGAATCGAGGTATTCATACATTAAATATTATACATCAAAGTATGGTACTTATTTAAAACATGTATTATAATTTAGTAACAAATTTATCAATGGAAGAATAGGGAGAATTTACTATTTATATTTTATAGGTTAAAAAAAACAGACTCAACTGATTTTATTTATAAGAACATCAAATGTATGACTCTATGACTTGATCTATGACCCCACAATTTTTTTTCTTCATTTTATCATCCAACAAGTTTATTTAATACAACCTTGCTAAACATATAAATATATTTAAAAGCAGTTTTTAAACTTACAGATACAAGTCCATTGTGCCCTGAAATATATTTAAAAAAAAACATTTAAAATTAAATAATCAAAGACTATAGTATGACTAATTATGGTGAGTATATCAACAAGTAATGAGTCATGCAGGGTCGATATAACATGTGTGTACAGTGAGAGTGAGTTATACTAAAAATAGTAATAATAAATTACTAAAATAATATTATTATTAGGCATACAATAAAAAAAACAATAATAATTAATAATGGACCCAACAGAGACTAGTCTCAAAATTATATGTAGGGCCCAATATATATATTTATAAAACCATGTGGCATGTATGATACTACTGAAGTAAATAGTAAATATGGTTATAAAAACCTGACTGTTTTGTTATTGTCGGACTTTACTAAAGATTTGTTGTATTTGATGTTTATAACATTTTCATTTTCATTATCTAAACAATTTTTTTTTAAAAGTCAAAAACAATTTGGTTTTAATTTTGTCACAGAAAATGTAAATAAATATGGCATGACTTTTAATTAAGCAGTGTTGCTTAAAAATCTTTAATTTTATTTTTAAAAAGTTATTGGTAAAGTTTTGAGCACACATGACTCACTAGTGGAGTTAACAACTTAACAGAAGATGGATCACAGAGTTAATGAATTGTAAACCAATACTGGCCTTAAGAAAATGAAACTGCACTAACAATTTAGTAGCCTTGAAATAAATGGTAAAGTAAAAAAAACTTTTTTAAAAAGTATTATTACTATTATAATTAATAATTAAAGTCTAATTTAAAGTTTTGGTAATCTATCGTTTTAGGTACGTAAAATCGGCCGCGACTAGTAATGTGAAAAACAGGTGACTCCTTACATTTTAATAATTATTTCACATTTTGAGGAGGATTTATGTTTTGAAAAATACAAAAATGTTTCCTTGTTTCATTTATGTACCTGTTTTTAAACAATTGAATTAAAACTTTTCAGTAATAAATGAACACCAGCGATATTTCCAACAGATGCAACCACGCTCATTTACTATAGCAGCCATCTTGTTAAAGTTTTATTTTTATAGACATAGGCCTATAGCGCAAGATTCAGGCGGAAGTCACTCTATTTTACAAATGGCTGCTGTTTATATAGCAAATCTTGCTTGCAGACACAGCTGTTTAAAGTTAATTTCTGGCCTATATTGATATATTTAGCCATTGATTTAGGTTAGGTTTATTATTCATTTATCTATAATATTTGACACAAACATATCACAATACACTTCTATTACAGCCTTGACAATGAGGTAACGTTTTCGTACATTAATAGCCACGGGCGATTTTACGTACCCAAAACGATAGATTACCAAAGTTTTAAATTTAAAGTTTAGGGTAAAGGAGGGCGTTAAAAGCCCTGTGGTATTAAGCCCCAATCAACACCCCACCCCCACAAAACCCCCAATAACACTGCTAATCTACTTCTGAGGTAACAACCACTGCTGTTCTTTGATAACAGAGAAGCAGAGGATTCATTTTATGTAATTTATGACCCACTTGGTCCAATAGGGAGTGGATGTGACAGGATTTAATCCCACTGCTCTTTCCCTAAAATTTCTCATCTCCATAAAACCATTTTGTGAACTTTTTTTCCAAATAGACATAACTTGGGAAACTTTACTTTGTAATAAACCAAATGAGTTTTTCAAGCCCATTCTTTGTTCCTGTATTAGAGCATTGGTTGTTGTACATTTTAACACTATTTTTATAGCTATGGCTAGAATAGTTTTATTTTGGTGAATTTTTTTTGCACAGTGATTATTGGTGCCAAAACAAAATGGCCAACATTTGTCCCATTTTACCATGCTATAAAGTTTGTATCATTATCAGAGTAAAACTTGACTGATCATTACCATAATGGTTTTATTTGTTAGATAATAACTAAATCTACATGAATACATTAATTTTGTCTACTAGCTTGACTGTTTAGAAAAGTTATAACAGATACTGTTATGTGGCTCTTGAAACCCTAAGTGCAAGTTTCTCATTTATTAGACCACTGAATATGACACTGGTATAGGAATAGTTAACACAAAATGTATTAATTGTTAAACAGACTTGTGTCTAAATGATAGAAATACTATTCTAACCTGCTAAAAAGTAAAAATTCAGCCATCTGATGTTAGCAAGGTAATTTTTAAAATGGTACACGTACTTATTACCCCTAAGGGGCAATACAGCCGACTCAGCCCCCACCTGTTTCTAACCAACCATAAAACTTCTAATCTCTTTGTAGGTAACAGGAATAAATGCTCTTAGGTCTCAGCCAATCTGGGGTGGTATGTTATGTAATTTATGACCCTCATGGTCCAGCAGGAAAGTAAACAGACACATTAATACCACTGCTCCCACCTTACAATTTCTTACCCCCATGATACCCAGCCCCCACCAGTTTCTGGCCCACCATAAAACTTCATCTCTTTGTAGGTAACATGGTTTACAGTTACAGATCTCAGACAATCTGGGGTGGCATGTTATGTAATATATGACCTTCATGGTCTAGCAGGGTGGAGACCAAAGAGGAATCAGTACCACTGCTCTCCCATCACAATTTCTCACCCTAATGATACCCAGCCCCCACCTGTATCTAACCCACCATAAAACTTCATCTCTTTGTAGGTAACATGGACTTAGTTCTTAGATCTCAGCCAACCAGAGATAGCATCTCCTTATGTAATTTATGGCCCTCAGGGTCCAGCAAGGAGAACAAAGGGGAAACCAGTACCACTGCTCTCCCCTCACAATTTCTCACCCCAATGATACCCAGCCCCCCACCTGTATCTAACCCACCATAAAACTTCATCTCTTTGTAGGTAACATGGACTTAGTTCTTAGATCTCAGCCAACCAGAGATAGCATCTCCTTATGTAATTTATGGCCCTCAGGGTCCAGCAAGGAGAACAAAGGGGAAACCAGTACAACTGCTCTCCCCTCAACATTTCTCACCTCCATGTCATGTTATGTAATGTATAGCACACATGGCTTATCAGGGGAAAGCATTAAGGCAGATTAGTTAGTACCACCCCTTTTTACATACAAGAATGTTAACTCTGGACAGCTACACACTAGTATACTAGCTACACACTAGGCGTACTAATGTGCCTACTGCAAACTACTAGAATTTAGGGCTTAGGCCCTATGTACACCTGCAATTGTATCAATTGTAGACTGGGCCCATTGGGGCCTAGTGATAGCTGGTATCAGTTAAAGTGTGTGTACACAGCATTAACTATTTTGGGGTTAGAAATTAATTATTTTTATTGCGGTGTTAGTCTAAACTAGGAGATAATACTTATTGCCCCATCGCCCGGCTCCTTTCACCCCAAATGCTGATTTTGGGGGTATGACAATAAATGTTCAATTAAACCCATTTAAAGTATATTTAATACACTTTGTTATTATGTTTATATTGTGTAAGATATGTTAGAATAATTTTGCCATATTTTCAATACTAAAAAATTCTTAGATTAGTAGAAATCTTTAAAAATGTACAGGTGCTAAAAAGTGTGGCTCTTAACGCCCTCCTTTACCCTAAACTGGCCTAAAGTCTTAATAAAAAAAATCTTGCCAGCTCCAATAATAACAGCATCGTATTGTGATTTAAGCTGTAATGTGCCAACAAATCGCTTGGCGTAATTTGTCTCCACTACTTTAATCAACCTGGAATTAAACATAATTAGTAATTATTATTTATTATTAGCAGGATAATTCAGCTGCAACGTTCTCATCAGTTGTTTACAATCCACATTTCACCAACAGCTGGTTACTTAGGGTAAAAGGGTCAAAGGTTATGTCGGTTCGTCTACTTCCCGTATCTCTTTAATTTAATTAAAATGGCTAGAGCTTTATTGGAAATAATCGACATCAAATTTAGAATTATTAAGTTACAAATATTTATGCTTTATATTCAGTAAATGTTTTCTATATTACAAACAATATTTAGACATAATAAAAAAAATTATAAAATAGACCTAATTTCTTTTCTGAATTCAAAAATCTAATATTTTTCTAAAACGTTTTCTCTCTCGACAATTAGTGCTACTCTACTGTCTTGCGACCGGAAACGTATACTGAACATCATATGACAAGACTAAGAAAACTCAGAAAAACAATACAATGTCTGATACGGGTTTAGCTTTGGGTGTAATTAGTGCCATTTGGGCTTTTATTGGTATTATTTTACCAATAATAATTCATTTCGTGATGGCTAAATCTCCAAATCGAGGGTAAGAAAGCAATTAATTTATGATTTTCTCAGAAATATAGCAAAACTAAAGAAAACTTAGGTAATCTATCTAGATTAGGCTGTTTGATGAGAATTACAGAATGATTTTTTTATTAAAAATGTATCAATAATAGCTAGAACACTAGTAAACTAAGCTAATTTAGCATATTTTAACTTTCTGTGCAAAGTCATTATTACTGAAAAAAATTCCAAAGTCAGGTCAGCCTGTGGCACCCTCCACTGAACGTGACAGAAGGAAAAAAAAACTTCACCCGTGACCTTCATTAAAACAGAATTTGCTTTTGTTTTATTTTTATTTTTGGTAAACATGTGCTTAATCTTACCCAATAAGTGATAAAAATTTGAAAATTAATTTTAATTACTGTTGTAAAGTGAGATAAACAGCTTAATAAACACATGCTTTCTTGAGGGGGTGTGGCCCGGGTGTGGCACATCGCAATTATAACTTTATATTTCTGTGTTTTATGACTATAGGCCTATTTGTTCACAATTAGCATGCTATGTTTTTTAAATTGATAAAAGGTAAGTATACCAAGTTACAAAATCCGCAATCTAACTAATAATTCATACTTTCAATTTAAAAAATAATAAAAACGATCATCAACGAAGAAAGCGTAAACATTCTATTTTTAGGTATGACATAAAAAACAGTCATAAATCTAGCCAAATGATTGGATTCTTGCGCGGCACACATTTTCCCGCGCCTCGTTTTCACCAAACAAGAATATAATAAAATGGCATTATTACTTACACCCTCAAAAGCATTGTTTCCACCCTAATTATATTAAACAATTCTATTTTTATTTGATAGTAAAGATGATATACAAATTGTATATTACAATAAAGTTATTGTAGAACGCACCTGCTTTTAGTTTATTCGACTTGAAACGCAAGCTAGGTCAGCGTGACTTTCTCTCGACTGCCTCGTTAAATACAAATAAAGAAATTAGGTCAAGCTGCCATTATTAAAATGTTAATTATTCGCCCCGTAAATACATGGGCAGTTTCGAGTGAAAATCTATCCGATTACGATACAATCCTTAGTTTTAACTATCATGTACTTCATGAGAAAGAAATGATTCGATATTTTATATGGCCGCCCAAAACACGGGTGCTTCAAAACCGCGAGAACGAGATTTCACGAATCGAAAAACCTAAGTAATAAATGAACACCAGCAATGTTTCCAACAGATGCAACCATGCTCATTTACTATAGCAGCCATCTTGTTAAAGTTTTATTTTTATAGACTTATTGCGCGAGATTCAGGCGGAAGTCACTCTATTTTACAAATGGCTGCTGTTTATATAGCAAATCTTGCTTGCAGACACTACTGTTTAAAGTTAATTTCTGGCCTATATTGATATATTTAGCCATTGATTTAGGTTTATTATTCATTTATTCTATATAATAGTTTCGCTGTCTGTGTATCTATCTATCTATCTATGTATCTATCTGACAAGAACGCTCTAGAGAAAACACAAGCAATTTAAAAACTTACACAGTGAAACGAAAACGAAATATGACGTCATATAGTAGAAAATAATATCAAGCCGGAGAGTGCACACAGTAATATGACGTCATTGATTCTCGAGTAAACATTGAATAAAAAGGCAACTTTGTCTAATCTAAGTGGTTTGCGTGAAGAGTTTCTTTCATACAATTCTTCGGGTAGGGGCGAAGCCCCACCCTCGCGAAAGAACGTTTAAGCCGCCCCGCCCCCCCCCCCCCCCCCCCCAACTTGAAAGAAATTTCTTCATCGATACTCTATAATAAAAATTACCGCCTAATTAATGTGTCTAATCTTAAAAGTGGTTTGCTTGCAGTTTCTTTCATGCAATTCTTCGGGTAGTGGCTAAGCGCGACACCAGTGTTTCTTTCAGACTTTTTCCTCCCCGGAAGTGGAAAAAGGGCTACCTTTAATTTGATACCAATTTTATTTATCAAATTTAATTCGTAGCCTAGAAAATGATTTGTGAAAAAACGCGTTTGTTTTTAAATGGCTACAATGATATGACTGAGTTTCAGAGATACAGTGGGTTAATTTTTTAGGGAGTGTTGCTGTGATGCTATTGACCATTCACTGCAGTAGAAGTGTGTTGTGTGGTAGATTTCTCCCCATTCAAATACCTGGCGAGCTGTTGTCTCCATCGAGTTATTTTTTATAGGTTTTATTTTTACCCTTCATGATTTTTAAAATAATAATGACATTAGTTTAGTAGACAGCAAGTTATAATTTTCTATAGTTAAGAATATATTTTCAGTATGTTTAGAACAATATTAAATAAAGCAATTCATGTTTTACTTATTTTTATTATGTTGTGCTCAATATTCTCAGCGATTAGACAAAAAAATTGTACAAATGGCAAAGTTGCATCAAACACCAATCATCCATTGTTAAAACTAGACCAATATTGTTGAATAACACGCAAAAATAACAATTTAAAGTATATATTTCTGAAATGACCATGAAACATTGTTAAAAATCGAATCATGGTATCGTCATTTTCGTCAGCCATCATTACCGTGACGACAGTAAAAAAAATATGTGAATGATGGGCATACTATTTTTGAGTTAAAGTTAAGAGTAGTTAATAGTCTATAGTAAGTAGGCTACTTTTTAGTTAACCATTTTAAAAAAAAAATTTTAGTCTTCTAAATTCTAAATACTTGACTGTATTTATATGGGCATTTACTATTTATTTAAGCCTTTTAGCGCATAGTGCAATAGTAATACTGAGATCTGCTCTAACTATTAATTATTTTGTGGCAATCAATTTTTAAAATAATTAAATTTCCTTGACATTGAAGTAGAGTTCACCTTCATTAGTGACCACACCAATTAAATAAATAAGTTTGATTCTATACCCAGCTGTCTTTATTTTCCCTAACATAAATTGATTCTTGTGTATTACTATTTCAGCATTGTACAGATCTGTCTCATACTGACTGCAGTATGCTGTTTTATTTTGTAAGTATTTTATTTTAATTCATCCTACATTATTTATTGTTCAATTAATGTGTATTTAATGATTATTTTTGTGGGCTAAAGCTTGATATTTTTGTGTGCTGCATTGTTGTTTACGTTTTAAGAAGTACAGAACTTAGAGGACTATTTACAAGTACACTGTATGTCTAAATATATTTAATTTGCTACCACATTTTCCAGTTGGATTGTGACATACATTGCACAGTTGAACCCTCTGATTGGACCACAGTTAAAACTAGGGGTGATAAAAATGATGCTTTTGGAGTGGTAACTGAGGTATATGAGACTCTTAATTTTAATAGAGCCTATAAAGGTTTTGCACACTTCCTTAATTAGCAAAATATTTTTTATTTAAGGCTTAAAGCACTAAAAATGTAAGTTAAACTAAATATTTATACTTGATCATCACTGATGCTGTATTTCTTCTTTTGTGAACTTGCTGTTACCTAAATGTTTAACTTTTTTCTCTCTCCCTAATTAGGCACTGAAAGAATCACCTCAATCAATCAATGTGATAAATTTAAAGGATTGGCTTAAAATAATCAAGATGTTTCATGTTATATAATTTAGTTTTAAACTCTTTTTTTTTGTTGTAAATTTCTGCCCAAAAAGTCTTGTGCACCATCAATGGAAATTTTGCTGATGCATTTGATTCATGTATCTTACTTCAATTTTCATAAAGCAAATAGGCCTACCTACACAAATTTGAGGGCAATGGTTAAATAAGTTGTAATAGTTTTTTATTATGTATTTGTTAATATAATGTTAGTCTGTATGTTAACAGATTGCATTTAGTTCCCATTGTTTCAACTGATCTGAATGAAACTTTGACACTTAAAAAACGAATGATTTTAGCTGTTGTGGTTGTCATACTTTTTTTGTCTTAAAGTTAAGAGTTATTTCTCTGAAATGTTTTGTTAGCTGAAAATCTGGCTTTTTATTTCATCATTGTGTAAATTTGTAAGTTTTTGATTATTTGCTAAAGAATAGAAAAATCACTGTTTAGACCTACTGTATATACTATTAGTTCTATGTTATCTCTCTCTCTCTCAATCATTACAAATTACATTATCTTTTAAAAAGGCAACATGACACTTGTGCATACAGTCAGTTTATAATTCTTTGAAAGCTTCCTACTATGTGATTTGAACTATAATTTAAATCTACTTCATGAAGTTGCAGGACTAATGTACTTCAATTTTAAATAAGACATGCTTTTTTTTGGTCGATCTAGTTACTTACTCACAGGATTCATGTAGTTGAATATATTATAGGCTGTGTATTTTCCTACAAAAATATACTTTTTAAAAAATATTTTCCTTTTACTCAGATTTAGGGTGTTCTTATGGTTTATATTTGATCCCTGATAGCATTGTCATTATATCAATGGATCTTTATCATTCTGTAGATTTAGCAAAGTTATTGTCATTCCAAACATGTACATATGTTACTAATTTTGTCTTCATAGAAAATTCTGTAATATACTTTTATTTATCAGACCAGTAAATAATAAATCTTAAAATTATTTGTTGCTTTATTTTTTTACTTCAGTTAACTAAATTTATTAATCAAATGAAGCAACTGGAATTGTGATTCTATGTCAATACCCTTATCACTTCTTCGCATTATGGTTGTGTTTTACATCTTTTCCACGTTTGTCATTAGTCAACTGTTCACATTATGGTCATGTTGATTAAATTACTTGCTCTTTAACATATTGGAATATAAAAACACATTGAATCTATTGTGTATACATTTAGAAAATTTATTTGAATGGATGCACACATCATCTTCAGTGTGACTTTACAATTGATCAATACATGTATAGTTAGTGGGGACTAAATAGTTATAGATTAGCAAAGCCTGTAATGGGTTCTCTTTAAAACAATAGAGAGAGTACATTGAAGGAATGAAATAAATAGTGCACATCTGAGCATTGATTTTTTGCTGTTGCCTTTAATGGAGAATTACTGGGGAGGTTAGGGTAGTTATAAAAGTTACATGAAATATATTGATAACATTGGAGAGCAAAAATTACTTTGGGAGCAAGTCAATCGTGAAGGAACATCTAAGTAAGTACAAAGCAAAATTTGCTGAAAATATTTGGAAGGATATCTATCATATAATCAACATTGAGAGATGTAATGTAAGTGATGCTTTGCTAAAGGAAATAATGTATTGGAATAAAAGTCATGAGGAAGTAAGTGTCAAATGGTAAGGTATGAATGCCTGCAGTTGTGGTTGAAGAATTTACAGCTCATATTATGGCTCAGAAACTAATTTCAATGTTCTGTCAATAAAGTAATATCATTTGTGACTACAAATATTAATAATGGGCAAATAAAGTTACAATTCACTGCAATAATTTTCTACACTCCAAAATGAACTTGGCGTGTATCACATAGCTATAATCAATACAATGTAACAAGAAAATGGAAAATGTATGCAAAAAATAATTCAACATGCAGCCAAAAAGCTTATGTAAATTTAATGACATCAAGGCACTAAGTACAAAGTGTATGCTGTTAGGCCAAGATTAATTACCTCATTAATCATAGAAACCGAAAAAATATATAATATGATGCAACATTAAAAGTTAATTGCTTTGGCATATATAGATATGTCAATAATTACTGTATGTAAAACTTAATACAAGTATCATGAAACCATTTGGATTGTCAGTTTTGTATAAAATAATACATCATTAGCCTTCTAAGTTATCTTAATCAGGACAATCCTTTTTCTAATGTAGTTTGTTTACTAAAACAAACTTTCAAAACAAGTCAAAATCTTGACAAAAATAAGTCAAATTTCTTGTCTTGATAAAAGAAATATTAAATATTTTAAAGAACAATGAATAATATATATATTATATGTATAAATATGACATATTGCAACAATAATAAAATGCATGAATTTAGTAATTGTTTATTGCATACAAAAAATAATATCAATACACAGACTGTCTATATTTATCAATACAGATTTTATAATACAATTTTAAAAACATTGCACAGTATTCTCCCTGTACATTAGCATAAAAAAAATTATCTGCCAAGAAAATCGACACTAGCTTTGACTCCTTTTCCTGAATTCACATCAATGGCAACAACATTGATCTCAGTGTCACCAAAAGACATTCTTGCCTGGATCTCTCGCGGACCTGTTTTCTTCTTCGCTGCTTCCTCATCCACATCTTCATCCAACACGGGTAGGTTAAGGCACAGGGTTCCGCATCGTGTGACGCTGGGGTCAGTGATAAATTTGACATTTGAATTCTCACAGCTGTAGATATTTAGGACTATATTCAGCTGACCTGAAATTAGATTACAAAATGGAGACATTGGACTCTTAGAATAATAATGGGCTACATATTTCTTAATGTGTAACTAATAAAAACATTTGTTAGTTGAATAAAATATTAATCACATTTTTCCTTGGTTGAAAAGCCATATAAGTATTATAAGCGTTAACTTAAAATATTTGTATTTTTTCACAGTTTTTAAAAAAATGAAAATTAATTAAAAATAGTTAAATAGGTAGATAGTTATACTCTTTAAAATATACACTTGAAAATAACTAACTACCTATAAATGAAAGTTAAAACTGTTTACTATAGGGAAGGCTACATCGATTCCCACTATGAAAATCCCTCTCAGACAAAAGAGCATACCTTTTTTAGCTGGTGTATAACTCCTCACAACTGTATTGCCTAACATGATGGGCTGGTCAGTCTCAACATATTTGTCAAAAATATCCGTGCACCAGTCCACACCATCTCTTCTCACTCGTTTGGAGGCTGGATGAAGGTCAGGGTCAAAGCGATTTAAGATCCCAACTCCATAGGTTAGCCTGGATCTCCTCACATTAACAATAGAGGGATCTATGCCAAACAGCACAGCACCTGATATGGTAAGAGAATGTTGTAGGTATTTTTGAATTTTTAAAATTGAAGAGTATAACTCTTCACTGCTAACTGGCAAGCATCAACTTAAAGTCATTTCCGGTATCAAAGTCTGAAGATCTGAAATCCACTTAACAATTATTATTATAGATAACAGACTCCAGTCAGTGAAAGCTAAGTGACTGGACATGGTGCTAACCACAATAGGTTAAAATGCTGATAAATATGATTTATTAATTGTTAAATTAATATTTTACATGTTAAGTTTATTTGTGTACCTTTGAGAATGGCTAAGCTGACTTCTTGAGGGATGAGGATTTTCATGATATTCCCAAACTCTGATCTCATCTCATGTTGAAGTATGGGGGACTCTGCAAAACCTCCCACTAAAAACATGTACTTGATTTCTGTCAAATAGAAGACAAAAAAAAAAAAAATCAACATTTTACTAAATAAATTCTATAACTTTTTTTTAACATTAACAAATTTAAATTACTATTAAGAAATAAAGTCAAGAATATTGTTTTAATATTTAGCAAATTAAGATAAAAAGTATATAGACATTATTTTGATCTAAGAAATTAGCATTATGAATCATTTTGCAAAAGGGGCTATCACTTTGATAGCTTTCTAATTGGATGACTAATCACATGCAGCTAATTAGTTGGAAAACACAGCCAGTCAATGGTAAGATTCTAATTAAGGGTTTTGCACCATAACAACTTTGGTTATTTTATGAAGGCATTTTCATATATGTACATAAATAAAGTAAACATGTCTTCTTGAAGGTTGTAAAATGATATTTATATCTGCTTTTTTTGGAACTGATATAATTACAAGCAAGCTAGGGAAAATGCATTCTTTAGGGGAAAAAAAGTATTTCATGTATTTTTGTTATCGCTCAGTTTTATCTCTTACAGAAATGGTTACCCATTCCAAAATATTAAAATATTCTATCTGGCTGGGCTGAGGTTGTACAAAATTTAATTTGTTATCAGTTTCAAATCCAGAACAAGTAGGAAAGTGTTCATATGATCTATCATATGACCACACTTTCACATAGAACTTTATCTAGTAAGGATCAAGGGAAGTAATTATTTTTTTTCTAATATTTTCATTAAATAAAAACAGAAAGAGCAAGTACCCCCAGCATTTAGATCTAGGTGTGTTTCAAGGGAAGTAGCTTTTCATTTTTTGTATTTTTTTAATGAAATAAAGTACCTCTAGCATTAGGGTGATTGAGGACATCTCCAATGGCTTGCTTGATGTGGGTGAGGGTGGGCAGGAAAAGTCTTCTCATTGCAATTGGTGTCAGCCTTAGCATGCCTTGTGGTGACCACTCCACTTCTGAGTCACCATATTTCTTCACTGCATTCTCTGGATCACTCTAAAACCATTACATTTTTTTTAAAGTAATACAATCAAGCAAACAGATATATATACACCACATTAACAATGATACCGTGAGAAGATAGATATCACAAAATTTTGTTTAACAAACCTTGTGTTTCTTGTAGTCATTAATAAAAGTAAAAGGCGGGGACACATTTAGCGAGGTGTTCTTGTAAGGCGAGGCCGACCTTTTCCTGGACTCAAAGTCTGTCATCAGATGCACCCAGCCCATGGGAAACTTGCGCTTGTACTGCTCTACAAACTCTATTCCAAAGATTCCACACAACAGCTTCTCAAACTCTGCATCAACACCTTAGCAAAGAGAAACAGAGAATAAAACTTACACTTTATTGTTTGGATACAGTGTCATAACATTAATGCTTGCTTTATGTTTCTAAGGGCTAACCTCAAACTGACACATTTAGCCCTGCTGGGCATGTCTACATGACATGGTCAAGAAATGTAAAATGATATGGTTCCTACCATTAAAACCATAGAGAAGTACTACCCATGTTTCCATCAGAACTAACATGAGAACAGTGTGCTACCAGTGATAACCTAAAACACAAAGTCCTACCTATAGATCCATGAGGCCCTCCTGATGCTCTCAGCAGTTCTTTGATGTGCCCAACAGAATCCAGCTCGTGAACTGTGATGTCTATGGTGCCACCCCCACAATCAACAATCATGTACCTTGATCCTGTAGGTGGCATAACATTTAGTCAAATTATTTATCATAGCAAAAAAACCAACACAATGGCTAGCTAAAACTTTGATTAAGAATGAGTATCAGCTGTGTTTAACATTACAATGTTGTATTAGTCATAGGAATAAACTAAGAAAACCATCACAAAATAAATACATTAGTTTAGATTAAGTTAGATTTAATGCATCATTATATTAAAATACACATTTAAACTTTTAAATTCTGCAAAATGTAATCTACAGTGGGTCTCAATTATTTATCATAAAATTTCTACATTATTATACAAATTTAATATTAATTACTAAAAGTAAAAAGAGAGCAAAAACTACAAAAAAGCTTAGCAATAAAAGTTAAAGTAAAGGTGATTTAGAAATAAAATATTAAATTAAAAACATAAGCAGGATTATTTGATGAATGTGCACATTCAATAGAAAATTTAGCAAAGCAAAAAAATAAAAAGTAATTGTGGATGGGCTTATGTGTTGTGCTTAGTTCATAGTTGGTTTTCCATTAGCTCCACATAACATTTTGTTATAAGGAAAACAAATAAAAAAACCAGAATAGAAATTGTCATTATAGTATGCATATAGCTTAATTCTTGGTCATTCCATTGCAAGAGAGGTAATACTGTGTGTGTGTTTGTTGGGGTAGGGGTTGCAGGGGTGTGATGATAGATTGGCTAAGAAAAAGAAACCCTGTTTACTTTTTTTTTTTACAGAGAACAAAAACAAGAAATGTCAAAATAACAAAGCAGAAAATATTGATCCTGATTTGTTCAAAGAAAAAGAAATGCAAAGCTAAATATTTGTGTGCAGTTTTACCGTTATAATTTACGTCAATTTTAAACTCCACTACTCATCTTCACATTAATATCAAATTATAAAGGGCCAGACCTACAACATTGTCGGAATGCAACACCCCCCCCCCCCCCAAATAAATAAATAAACAAAAAAAAAAATATTCCTTTTTTACATTAAATGAGTTGTTTCCCTTTACCAAAAAAATTAACTAGTAGATCTAAATAATGAAATAAATTGACAACTGTTAAAAAAAAACAATTTTTTCTGGTCACAAAAATTATACCATCTTTTATTGGGGTGTGACGTCTTGAATGTAATAATGGGCCACCCCTAACTTACATAATTTAAATACATTCGCATATTAATCTGCAACTGCTAAATATAGGCCTACATTATTGTTTTGTTGCTAATTTTAGTGACTACGATTTCCCTGAGTCTAATAAGCTTCAGCATTACGGGCATTTCATTGATCTTTTTACTTCTGCTTCTCCTCTCCAAAACTGCAATTTTTTGTGTTCATCGGAACAGCATTTTTTTTTTCTTTTTAAATTTTTGACTGAGTTGTTTCCCTTTTACAAATTTAAAAACCGTTCGCAACGGAAGATGTTTTTGCTAATTACTATTTCTGAAAGTTTCAGCAAGTAGGCCGACTTGTCAGAATTAGGTAAGGGGATCTATTGTTATTACAATTTACAAAAAAAGTATAAGAAAAACTAAGTAGCCTACAATATTTTTTAAAATGCAAAATGTAACGGCACACTTTCTTAACATCCCCCCCCCCCCTTACTACAGCATTTAAAAAAAATGCTATATTGAATTATTAAACTGTTCTACTTTCTTAAAACGTTAAACAAAGTGTTCACATGTAACATTTTAGTATTCTTGAATAGGAGAGGGGGGGGGGGGGAGGTTGTCCATAACTGACGTCAGACTTTAGGGGGAGGGTTCGGGATTTAGTGACGATGTGTTTAGAAAGTGTGATGTCACACTGTTGCATGTTTAAAAAAAGTAATGTTAAACGCTGAATTTTAGCCGTTGTTACGCGTTTTGGAAAGATTTTTTTTCGTAAACTGTATTAGAAATTGATTAACATACTCTCTATTGACCGGGCTTAGTCAATAATTTAGAAAAAAAAAAGTTGATAATTTGAAAAATAAATAAATTAAACTGCAATTTTGATGGGATTGTAGGCTGAGGTGTGACGTCATTTAAAGGAAAGGGCCTGGCTATTTGCGACAAAATGTGACGATGGGGGTGGGTGGGTAAAAAAATGTCCAAATTAGGATAACCCCTAAGATAATTTTTTTTTTTTGCTTTAATTGCTTATAAACCAAGTCTGAAATATATTTTAAATTCATCTAAGATAAATGGCCTACTTGTGGGCTATTATTACAAAAAGTAAATACTTCTTTAGTTACAGTTTCAGAGACGCCTCAAGTACAAATATTTGAAAATGTAGTCTTCACTATTTATAAACAAAATGCTCTATTAAAACGTAAAAATAAATTCCTGGGTTAAGGTCATTGGGTTTTAAATAAAAGAAAAACGAGAAGTGAAATGTGGGTAGGCTAAATAGCAGGCAAAACAGAACTATGTGTGGCATGCACATTGTGCGCTTCAAAGATTGAACTAGGCAAATATAAAGGTGTGATGTTAATGAACCTTGGATTTGTGAGTCAACAAACTCCTCGGCGTCCAGACGAGATCGAGAGGACGAGCGAGATTTCACATCTGAAACATGGGGTAACCGCGGGCAGTTAGTCTCGTGGGTCTCTCGTGTGACTTGCTAATGTGTGTTAATGGTTACCTTATATGATTTGTTGCCTTAAGTGTTTAATTATCTTATACTATTTGTTAACTTGTGTGATTGGTTATCGTGTGTAGTTGGTTATTTCGTGCTATGTGTTGTCTTTTGTGCTTGGTTATATTTTAATGCGAATAGTTTTTCTTGTGTTACTTGTTAACTCATGTGACGAGCTTAGTGTTATTATTTATACATAGGCTATTTACACTTTGGAAATATGTTAAACAGGGATGCGAGAAAACTAGCCCATTGAGAAATCGCCGTTTCAATAATTAGACACAGTTAACACTTAAAGTCTCTACATGCTCTATGATTATGGTTATTATAATATGAATTATATTAAGCAATTACCACATAGGTCATTGATATACCTAAATGTAATGTGGTTACAGCTTTAACAGTCATATTCGTTTTTACATCTAGTAAAATAGTGCAAAGAAAAACTGGTCAGTAATCACCATGACACTTCACCAAGTGTTTCTTTCAGACATTTTGCGGGAGGGGGTGGGCGGATTAAAATTTTTAAATTTGCAGGGGGGGGGGGGTACTATTTTTTTTGTTTCTGGGGTGGTTGGAGGGGGGGGGGGGTTCCTAAAACACTACTTTCGTGCTCCCACAGGAACTTTCGAAAAACTTGCTTTCAGTTGGTTGATTATAAGTAGTATATTAGGTCCCTTTTGGGTATCATGGGTGAGCAGGAGCAGGAGCAGGAGCAGGAACAAAGGTTATATAGGAAAATACTCCCTGCCTGGGTGAGCCGCAGGAACAATGACATATAGCAAAATACTCACCCACCAGGGTGAATGGGTGAGCCGCAGGGACAACGAGATATAGTAAAATACTCCCTGGGGGAGCAGGAGGTACACCGACATATAGTAAAATACTCACCCACCTGGGTGAGGGTGGGTGAGCCGCAGGGACAATGACATATAGTAAAATACTCACCCACCTGGGTGAAGGTGGGTGAGGGTGGGTGAGCCGCAGGGACAATGAGATATAGTAAAATACTCACCCACCCTAGGGTGGGTGATGCGGATGCGGAGTAGGTCAGTAGGTCACCACCGGTGACCTTGTGACGTAATCAGTGACCTAGTTACGTAATTTTAATGCGTTTTTTAATGAGTTTTAATGAGTTTGAATTTAATTAATTTGATTTTAATTAGTTTTTATTAACGAGTTACGTAATTGGATTTTAATTTTGTTAATTTTAAATTTTAATTTTGTAATTTTTATTAACTAGTTACGTAATTTGATTATTTGTTTGAGTTTTTAAATTTTTAATTAATTTTTTATTATCGAGTTACGTAATTTAATTACTTTGATTGTATTTTTATTTTGTTTAATTTGTTTGTTTACTTGTTGTTTAATTTAATTACTTTGTTTATATTGTGTAATTTTTATTAACGAGTTACGTAATTTGATTATTTGTTTACTTTTTAATTATTTTTATTTTGTTTATTTTTAATTTAATTTTATTTTATAATTAGTTAAATTATTATTAACTAGTTACGTAATTTGATTTTAATTACTTTGTTTAATTTATTTATTTGATATATTTCTTTTCTTTGTTGTTTAATTTGTTGGTTTGTTTATTTGCTTGTATATATGTTTTAAATAAAAGACTAACACTAGCGTGGACTTTGTATAGGGACCATTCAGCAACACAACGAACGTTACAAAAATAGAACATCCATTAAAGATAACGATCAGCCACATCTGTTACGTATCGACCCGCCCGCGAAGTTTTCTCACCGCTGCCCGTTTTAATGGGAATGTATTGATCGCAGCCGCTGGCCCATCACACCTAATTAAATTTTGTTATGCTTCACCGAGTTTCCCCGCTCGATTTGACGGGTCATGGTGATTTATGTGGGTTCGCGAAGCGATCCCACCGGGGGGTATGGTAATTAACGCAAAGCCAGCGTTAAGTGTGGGAACACCTGTTACCACGTTAATCGATTTTACCGATCGCTTTGTTAGCTCCGCGAAGCACTTAGGTCATTATGCAACAGCTGTTGTGCGACAGCTGGTGCTGTAATTAGGCTGTCCAACCGTATAAATGACCGCAAAAATTGTGTTCTAAACACTTCAACTTCGGACTTCAAACCAAGCGTCACAGCGACTTATCCAGCCTGAGACCTCTGTTGACTCCTGAGACTAACCCACACCAGCTTTACCAATCATCACATCTACCTAACCCTATACGGACCACATCTTTTGTGGGTGTTTATTCTATTAAAGGTAAGGTTAATAGTATGTATTGTTTAAAAGGTGCTAACCCCTTTTAATTAATCCTTTTTCTAAATACGTAGTCACAGGTATTTACTTTAATTTTGTATCATACACCGAGGTAAGGTGAATAGTACGTTTATTTTAAGGGAACTAACCCC